CTAATACTCGACCATCATATCTAAATTTGGCAGTAAGGAAAATAGTTTTTTAACCAAAATCACGTGTAACCTTTTTTAAAAAATTTTATTGCACTTCACGAAATTGCAATTTTTAATTTGAGCACGTGGCGCAGCAATAGGAGTCTTTAGACCGAGCCAACCATATTAGTATTAGGGAATAAGGTTTATTCAAATTATTTGTTTTGTTCGTTATTATAAATTTGAGTATTCTAATTACATTGAAAGTTTATTCGAATAAACGAATAAGACGAATAAAACGATAAAATGAATAATTCGAATGCGAATGATACAAATGATACAAATGATTTGAATAAACGAATAATAATAATAATAAAACAAATTAAATGAAAAATTCGAAGAAACGAACAATTCAAATGAGAATTTGTATTACGAATAGAAACTCTAATATTCGTTCGGGCATCAAAATTAGCCAATCATATTATTATTATTTATTTGTTGAACAACTCTTTAATCATTAAAATAAAAAAATTTTGTTGCAAATCCCACTTTTGATATATAGTAAAATCGTGCAACTTCAAACCACCAAGGCTTTTTTCTTAGTAATAAATTTGAAAAAAACTCTCTATTTTTGCAATATTTAGAACCTAAGTAACAACGAAATAGAGAGTTTGTTTCAATTTTATTAGTGAGAAAAAAAACCTTGGTGGTTTGGAATTGCACGATTTTTTTGCCTTTAGATGATCTGTATCATACTAATATGAAAATTAAAAAGGACAATGTATATCATTTTTTAATATAATCTCTAGTTTCCATTTTGCATCAGGACTTATCACTAGATGATCAATATTTTAGATATCTAAGTTATAAAGCTCATCATCTTAATGATGTAATCTTTCAAAGCTTTAACCGTCGGAATAAAAGACGTGGAATTAACTACTGTATATGCTTGAAAATATGATTGTGATTATGATTTTAACACTACTATTGATTATTTTGGATTGAAAATATAATTAAAAAAGAATGTAGAGGTAATTTTTTAATTCGTTATTAAATCACGGAATATGTATTTATACAGAATATCTCACATAATAAAGATAATAAAAAGGGTTTAAATAAGATAATCAGGTTTTTTCTGATAACGAATTTGGTAATTATAGTAATAGTAATAAGAGTAGTAGGAGGGTTAACGGTTTATATTATTGTTAATATAATAATATTTTATCACCTCGTACATCGTACATACAATATATATGTACGATGTACTAAATTTCCTCGTACAGGTGTACGACCACAACGAAGTTGTACGAACTCAATTGTATATTGTTCGTATATACGAAGATTCTGCGAAATTCCACGACCCTGACTACTATTACTATTATTACCATTATGAATCATTGTATAATAAATTGGATTATTACAGATAGAAACCCTAGTTCCGATGCAAATAGGATGAATTTTCAAGGCAATTCAAACCAGCACAAATTCAAACCTGATGAAGGTATTCGAATTATCCTACAGCAATACGAACGTGCAAGTCAAACGTCTCAAGTATGATAGTAGATAGTTTGAACTTGTAAACCAATAATTTAAAGCTGTTAATAAAACATTTGTCTCGTTAGCATGATTTCCGGTGCTGAAACAATTCAAAATCTGCCAGCGGCTATACCAATATCTGTTAATACCGGAGATCGTCGTCTTTGTGTCCGCCGACTAATAAATTCATTTCCCCAAAAAAAAATTTTCTCACAATTATTTTTAATAAAAAATTTCTTATTAAATAAAATACTCGAGAAATATTTATTAAATCCTAAATAATAATATTAACAAACAATTAGAAATAATTTATTTTTAGATTACGATTCAACGAATAGTTGATTTAATAGAAGAAATTGTAAGTTTTAATTTTAATTCTAGGAATTATTAATATTAGAGTTAACATTCTTCATCTATATATTTATATTTATAAACATTTATTTTTTCTAGCAATTTCTTTGTTAAAAACCAATCCTTTTTTTAAAAAAAAAGAAGAAAACCCTTATTATCTATCATAATAATAATTAAAGTAACTTGATTTTAATTTTAAAAAATTTTTTTTTATATAAATTTCATGATTTGAACTTTAGACAAAAATATAACTCATCCCCATTTCAATAGTGAGGAACACTTATCCACAACCACCAAATACTACATTTTACGCTGAGACACTGCCAGCACCGGCCACCTCCTCTTCTTCCTCTCACCACCACCATCCACAAATTCATCCACCTCCTTCTTCACAGTCTCAAACATTACCCGGAGCTTTTCCTACATCTACTGCTACTACTCCCATATCGATAACTACAACACCTCCAATAAATATTAATAATTCATACCATCATCAACAACAGCAGCAACATCATCAACAACAGCAGCAACATCATCAACATCAACATCATCAACAACAGCAGCAGCAGCAACACCAACAACTTTATCACCATCAACAACAAACATCTCCACATTCTCCACTTCATCATCAACAGCAACAACAAAATAATAACCATCAGCAACAGCTACAGCAAAAGCCACATCCATCCTCACATCATCAAATACATCTATCTTCACATCATCAACCACATCTAACTTCACATCATCAATCACATTCATCGCCACTTCTTCAAACAAATCATCAACAACATTCATCGCCAAATCAACATCAACAAAAACATTCTTCACCACATCCACCTCCTTTACATCAACCACCACAACTACTATCTGATCAACAATCAGGCTTACCACAATACACACCTAATTCACATTCACACGCATCATTAAACCCAACGCATTCACATGCATCGCCACAGCCAACGCTTTCACTGGCACCTCCACCTCCACCACCAATTACTATAAAACAACAAACTACGCCCCCTTTAACTCCTTATGCATATGATATTGGTGGCGGTGGTGGTGGTGTTAAAGTTTCAAGCTTACGTCAAGAGCCAAAAGGGTTATTAAAAAAAGAAGTTTATGAATATAAGGCTCCATGGCCAGTTTATGGATTGGACTGGTCAAAACTACCAGGCGAAAAGGCGTTCCGATTAGCAGTAGGAAGTTTTATCGAAGAATATTCTAATAAGGTTAGTTTTTAATGATTAAAATATCAATGCCGATTTCTTTTTTTTATATATGATTTAGACCAACATTAAAAATAACTTTTTTAAAACTTGTTTATAAATAAGCTTGAAATAATTTCACTGGCTGAGCCTAGTACTTACGATGATGATGGTTATTATCATCGTTCGAATATAGATTTTGTTAAAATAGCAGAAGCAGATCATCATTATCCCATAACAAAAGTATTATGGGAACCATATAAAGTTTGTATCTTTTTGATTATAAATCAATCAATTTATTTTAATTTAATAATTGAAATTAATTAATTGTATGGTCTTATAGGGTGGATCAAAGACGTCAGATTTGTTAGCAACTACTGGTGATTATTTAAAATTGTGGGAAATCGTTAGTGATGAAGCAAATCATGGAAGTAATACTATTGGATATAATAATAACAATCATAATAATCATAATAATAATAAAACAGTATTTAATAAGAAACAACAACTTATTACTAAACAAACATTAAAGAACAAAAAGGTAGACTTCAAAGCGCCACTAACATCTTTTGATTGGAATCAACTGGACTCCAGTTTAGCAGTTACGTCTAGTATAGATACAACATGTACTGTATGGAATGTTGAAACAGGTCAAGCAAAAACACAATTGATAGCTCATGATAAAGAAGTTTACGACGTTGCTTTCTTTACAAACGAAGTTGACACTTTTGCTAGCGTTGGTGCCGATGGAAGTGTAAGGTTATTTGATCTAAGGTAGGTGAGATTTTTAGTCAAAAAGAAAAATAATTTAATTATAAAATATAATAATATTATATACATATTATTTTTAAATCATATTATTTTAGATCATTGGAACATTCTACAATTCTTTATGAAACGCCACCACCCCAACCCTCAAAAACTGGATCTTCCTCAAACTCCTCAAACCAACAATCTCCACTACTTCGTTTATCTTTTAATAAAATATCACCATATTATATAGCCACTTTTCACATGAATTCTACCGAGGTTATAATATTGGATATTAGAGCTCCTGGGTTGCCGGTGGCCGAACTAAATGGACATAATGCACCTGTGAATTGTGTTAACTGGTCACCAAATTCATCAAATATTTTGTGTAGTGGTGGCGATGATTGTAATGCCATTGTATGGGATCTTGGCGACTTGTCAACACCTAATTCTACCATATCCAAATACAACCAGGATCCATTATTGGCCTATAGAGCAACAAGCGAAGTCAACCAATTGAGCTGGAATACAAAATACCCTGAATGGGTATCTATAATTTTTGGAAAAACCATACAGGCTTTAAAAATATAAGGAGAAAAGCCACGATATTGAACAACTTCTTATTTATATTAGCTCCCCACTTAATTGTTATACTATATTATATACTCTATCACATTATCATATTATATTATTATATTATTACAGGCATTCTTATCATCATCATTATCATCATTATTTATTATCATCATCAAGATTTCAAAGCATCATTACATACAAAAAACATTCTGTTCCCTGTTATTTTTATATATATTCACACTCATTTATTCATTATTAGGGTAAACTTATGGTGACAACAAGTTGTGATACTACTATGTATGATTGTACTGCTAAATATGATAAATCTATTGACTTGTGGACATTTTTGATAAAATTATATAATCATAATAGGGATTAAAAATAAAACGATTAGATAAGATTAAGATGCGTAAATAGAGATTATTTATATTTTAAAAAAAATTTTATATATTTTTATATTTTATATTTTTATTTATATCTTTATATTTATATTTTATATATTTTTTTTTGTAAATAGATTATTCAAATTCATATTATTAAATTTTGGTTCTTGCTTGAACTTTGTCATAATTTAATTAGAGCAGTAGAAATGTGGACAACTTTTAAAAAAAAAAAATCAAATAAATATTTTTTTGTAAAGAAATGTTTTTTATTGCCAAACATAATAATATGAAAAAAATATAAATAACAAAAAAAAAGCAAGAGAACAAAAAAGAAAATTATATTAATATAATATCAAATATGACAATTAATATTTACTATGATACATATAAAAAAAATTTGGAAGAAAAAAAAATTAATTTTTTTTTTTAATATTAATAAAAATAACAACAATAATAATATGCTATAGGAAAGCCTCATCAAAATAATCAACTACAACGTCACTATCTACTCCTACATTATATGGTATATTATCATCAAGATTATAATCATGTTCATTATTAATATTGTGAATGATATTGTGCTTGTCAGCTAAATGGTTTTGTATAGCTTCATAATTATTCAGATGATGTAATCTACACAAAACACAAAAGAATACAGGAGAATCCTTTAATCCATGATTCAAAGCACCTCTAAGGGTTGTAATATGACCCGGGCCACCAACCAATTTGGCTTTTCGTCGTACATTCGTTGTTTCTTGTAAAAGTTTAGGTATAACGTGTTTATTAACCCAATCTTTGTCATTGGTTATGAAAAATGGCGGATTCGTAAATGTAGGAAGCAAATCGAGAAATTCATAAATAGGATTCCATATCTCAATCGGATTTGGTGGTGATCGCTGATACGTTTTTGTTCTATCTTTTAGACAAACCAAAATAAACTTTTGTCGACGTTTTCTAGGTGATAATTCTCTATACAATAGATCAAGTGTAATCAATGGTGCTCTTGATCCACCAAAAAACGAAGGCGGCATTGGTAATAATGGATCTATCAGGTCGATATTATCATCTAATGATGGCAATGGAGGTGGTGGTGATGCAGGAATAACTGATCTAGATGTTAGATCAGAATCGAGATTTGAATAATTGCAAAATGGATTTGAAAGAAAATGTGTATTTAGGAATCTTAACGACGACGCGGCTCTAAAATCATCATCGCTTTCTGACTCATAATCACCATAATCATCATAATCACCATAATAATCATCGTCATCATCATCATCATAATCAGACTCTTGATCAAAAAGTTGGAGTGCGCGAACTTCTCTAATAATATCCCATCTTGTTCTTAAACCTACACCCAATTCAAATCCATACTCTAAATCTGAATCAAAATCTGAATCATCAGAGTCAAGATTGTCACTTTCATCGTCACTTTCAGATATATTTTCATTATCGCCATTTTGGTTTGAATTTCCGGATCCAGACACAAATTCAAATTCTGAATAAGAAGAATCACCACTGTCGTTGTAGTTGCTGTTATTGTTGTTTAGGAAAAAATTATTGTCATCTCTGTTTGATAACGATGCAATGTCACTAAACAAATAATGATTCACAGTTTCACCTAATGAAAACCTGGTGGCCAATTCTAACATTAGTTGTTCGGTTTCTTCTATTTCATTAACCGAATTTAAAATTTCATTGCTGTTCGCCATCATCATTTTATGTCTTTTCTCGTCATCTTTAATCAACAATCTAGATTCTTCTTCTTTTTCCTCAAGTAATTGAGATTTTTCTTCATCTGATAATCCAACGAGTTTCTCTTCCATTCTATAATAATCAATTATCCAATAGTGTTTTTCACCTTTTCCCCAAGGATCTTTATGAGATACTGTAGGAATTGCATTTAAAACATCTTTACAAGCATTTAAATTTTCAATGAAATTCTTTTCACTATATAAAAAATAAAATAGTAAATTGGCAATAATAATAGTAAGGATTATTATAGTTGTAATGCATGATTATGGAATTAATAAATTAATAAATTTACCTGAGTACATTTTGAGCTAAACAAGGTTTACAAAGACGTACCCTTGGTATAAAATAAACAGAAACATTATGATGATGCTGCTGTTGTCGTAGTTGTTCTTGATGATGATAATTAAAGCGACCCTCCCCACATTGTTGGCATCCATTTTTAAGGCACAATAATTTAGTATAATCTCTTTCTGACATCCCGCTCAAAACTTCATATTCATTGAAAGGTGTATAAGTATTTCTTGAATGCTTCCATAATGATGCAATAGCTGAATGTTCCGAGCGTAAATAATTACAAAATTTCATGCAAACACATTCCAATTTTAGCAGCTCACAAGGATCTAGATATTTGCAGAAAGACACAAAAATATTAATTGCGAAATCATATTGTTTAATGTTTGCTTTATCAGAATTTATTAAAACTTTTGTAAAAGTTGACATTGACGTTGAAAATTGTAATATGATGAATTTTTATAATTGGAATCAAAGATGATAATATAGAATTCCTAAATTCCTCCTATTATTACTAAAAATAAACTACGCACGCAGCAATAATACCCTTTTTTTTCTTTTTTATTACAGTAATAATACCAACCAATTAAATTAATTGGAGATTTTTATTATTCATACAACTTGGCGCTTTATTAATTGTGTAGATACAATGGGAATGTTGATGACGATAATAGAAAGATTTACCTATATAGTTCTTGATGAAATATTTATTGAATTTTGTAGACTGGAATATAAAGGTGTGTGTATGAAATGTTGAGAATAAAGCGTGCAAATTTAACACAAAGTTTTTGGAATTTACTTTGTATATAGCTTAATAAGGTAATATTGAGTGCTTATCTGGAAAAATTAGCTTTTAAAAGTCATGTGTTTTTATACGTACAGTCAAATCTATGAACCGGGGCACATAAAAATTCTGTTGTGGAAAGATTAGTAATATTGCCGCAACGGATTTTTATGTATTTTTATATTAATATTAATATGTGAAGCAAAAAATTTAAAATCCCGTTATGACAATGATTTAATTATAGTTCGTTGTGACAAGGTTTGACTGCATCTCCCTCCAGGCCAGCAAGAAAATCTCTGTGCAATGGTTTATAACTTGTTTCTGCTGGTAAGAATATTAATTAATTGGGTCATTCTATTGACATTTGTTCCTGGATTTGGTAATCCACGGACTTCAACATAATCTTCCAGAAAATTCTTTATAATATCAGCAACACTTTTGTTAATTTGTTTTTCATTGGGCATTTTCTTTACATCACCATCAACTATTGCTAGAAGACCATTGTCTATCAGATGGTTTCTGATATTTTCAAAGTTCTACCAATTCTCTGCATGTTTTTTGGCAAAGTAATGTATTATGATCTCAGTGATAGAATGTTCTTTTGTTAGACCTGGCTTTCTTTTTAAGGCATCTGCTGGTGCTTATTGACCCACCATCCATTGCTTTAATTTGTGCCATCAAAAATATGTCTTTTCTGATTTGGAAAGAACTTGGGGGATTCGCGTAATTCTGCAAATTCTTCCTTGGGAATTCTTGAAGAGAAACCACAAACATAACCATTTTCCAAAAAATTAATTGTCCTTTTATTACTTTTTATTCTTCTCCATATACCTATAACCACATATATATACAGTCAAACCTCGTTTCAACGGATCTATGGGACTGACCACCTAAATCCGTTGAAACGAGATAATGATCGACAGGATCAACAGGAAAATTTTATTTACAAAGAATTAAAATGCTGATTAATAATTATTTACTGAAAAAACTAGTAATGTTTGTTTGTATTGAATTTTGAATACTATATGATTTTATTTTTTTTTCAATGATTTTAAAGCTTTTAACTCATTATAATCTGCTTGTGTATTATTTTGTTCAAGAAATTAAAAGCAGTTTCAAAAACTTTTTCACGTTTTTTGGAAGAAGAAGATAGTTGTTGAGACATTTTAATTTCGTAGAATTTAGAGATTTATTAATTTAAAGAAAACAAAAAAAAATGTTGATTATATAGAATTATTAGAAGATATTTATTTGTTATCAATTTAGAAATATGGAAAATTTGATTAATATTATGTGTGTTTAATTATTCGTGTAAAAATCATTATTTAAAATATGTAAAATTTAATCATTCGTGTAAAATCATTATGGAAAATTTTGATTAATGTTATTATTTAGTAATGTGGGGTAAAATCATATTGATATTTTTTAAATCTTTAGTAATGTGGGGGGGTAATGAAATCTATATCACGTGAATCCGTTGTGATTAGTACTTATTATTATTACTCCGTTGAAACGAGAATTTTTTAATTAATAAAATCAAGGGGTAAAGGCTGAAACTAGGGTTCGACTGTATGCACTTTGTAGGTTTTTTATGAATAAGCAAAACAGTTATTTTCCCCACGTTCTTATTCCCACTGCCTAATGATTTCTTAGCATCAGCATAAAAGGTGTATATGATCTTATCCGTAGAAATCTTCGCCAACTCCTGGATGTAATACATATTTACTATAAATACTCTTGCAAAGCTTTAATTGCTTCACGCGAAGAACAAAATAACCATGTCGGTCAATCTATTCCAAGAATCAATGAAATTCGAATCTATAAATGATTTGGTTCGAATCTATAGTATATACTATATGAAATAATTTGAGTCCTGCATAACTTTAAAAGATTTGTCTTTAGAAATAAACAGTTCTGAAAAAAGATTTACCAAGTACAATAATTGCATTTGGCTTTTCCATCTACAACTGTGAAATGGTTCCGCACTTTACTTCTTTCTTCTTTGAACACATTTCACTGTGTCAACTGAAAAAATTATTGAAGAGGCATCATTTTCAACAATGAAATTATTGTATTTTCAAAATTCGTGTTACATGCACACAAAATATCAGTTTTTTTTGGTACCACTATTTTTAAATTTAATTGAAGAAATGTCTTTGGAAAATATTGAAGTTAAATCAAAAGAATCAGTTCACCATAAATTTATGAGAAAAGCTCTTGTTCTTGTTTGTAGTTATTTAATTTTTAATAAAAAAATTGTACATGGAAAAAAAGTAACTTTTTAATAATAGATAGGCACAAGAGGCTTATGATCAATTAGAAGTTCCGGTTGGATGTGTGATTGTATTAAATAATGAGGTTATTGGTACTGGAAGGAACAGAACAAATGAAAAACTTAATGTAATTAATTGATTGATATTAATCATTACTATCAAATCATCATTATTATTGTTTTTATTGAATATTTTTCTTGATATTGTTAGGGTACAAGACATGCAGAATTAGAAGCGATCGATCAAATACTGTACACAACAAATTATACAAGTGATATATTTCAACAGTGTACATTGTACGTTACTGTTGAACCTTGCGTTATGTGTGCATATGCTATAAGAATATTAAGTAAAATTTTTTTTTTTTGAAAATAATTAGTTTGGATTTTTTTGGATTATTAAAAATATATATATTTTTTTTTTAATAAAAAAAGGAATCAAACATGTATATTATGGATGTTCCAATGAGAGATTTGGCGGAACTGGTTCAGTGTTTAATATTCATAATGAGTAATTCATCACATTCATACTTTATTTTATTTTATATAAAGAAATATTTAGTTTATAATTTATGCATTTATGATATTAGCACTAAATTAACATTGCATCCTGCTTATCTGTGCGAAGGAGGATACTATCGTGAAGAATCAATAATGTTGTTAAGAAAATTTTATGTTAGAGAGAATCAAAATGGTAATATTTTATGCAGTAAAGTATATTCATTCATACAGTATAATATATATTTCTAAAAATAATTCTTTTTGTTAGCACCTGAACCTAGGAGAAAACATCAAAGAATCTTGAAAACTGAAATCAAGCCTTCAAATAAATGATAGAAAAATTATATTTTCTTTTTAGCAAAATTTAATTTTATTATGAAATAATACTCAAATCTATAAATGTTCTATCAATATTCACATATTTTAATCACAAGCCTATCCAATCCAAATAATAAAAAAGAGAAAAAATTTATAAAAGATCAGAATAATCAATCTCTATTATGAAAAATATTGCATCGCCTTCCTTATTTCTACAAACAAACCGAAGTGGTTGATTTCTTAAAACTTTTAACATACTAAATTTAACAATCATATCAGCTTTCATTGTAGAAAAATTGGTAAAATTATTAAAAAAATCAAAAGCATAAACCAAAGAAGGATCGAATACAAAACGTTTTCGTATTTGTGGGTCAAGAAAATAATTGCGCCTTTTTGCTGAAGTTAATTGTTGCTCATTTGGTAAAATTAATTGCGTGTCCTCATCAAGATAATTCTTTCCGTAATAAATCCATGATTCTTTAGGTACTAAAAGTGGTGAACCTGATGCAATCAATTTCTTATTATTGTCGTTGTCGTTGTTGTTGTTTCCATCATTGTTATTGTTGTTATTCTTTTGACGACTCTTTACATTTAATTTTTGTTTGGTGGATTTTTTTTTTCCAAAATGTTTCTTTTCATAAAATTTATAATCTTCATCATCAGATTTCCAAACTTTAACGATATTCATGCCACAGATAAGCCAACTGCCAGCAGAAGGTCTCTTTTTTAAAAGCATATCATTTGCTGTAAATCCTGGATCAATCATACTTGCAAATTTTACAGCCAAAGAAGCACCAAAAGGTGGGTTGATGAAGTTTTCAGTTTCAGCTAAAAAGAATACATCATCAAATGTCCATAAATTGTCTACTTTTCTTTTGAAATTTGTTGGTTTGAAACGTCCTTGAAATTGAAAAGAAAAAAATCTTCGGTGGTTTTCAAAATATGAGTTTGTTGTTATAACCTCATTATCTTTATTATGGTGATTTTGCAATCGAACAGTTATGTAGCCTGTGAAATGTTTAGAGTTAACATAAAAAGGATTTTCATCATCGTTCACATTATAGGGTTGAAGTGAGTCATAAGTTGGTCCTATTCTGACTATTGGCATGTTTATTTTTATTTCTTATTTTTTAAAAAACGAAAGTATTAAATAATAATAATTTATTATTGTCGTTGTTGTTGTTATTATTATTATTATCAATTAAAAATTTTGCTTATGATAAATATGTAAATGAAGAGGCCTGCTGCTTCAGTTTTTAAAAAAAATTTTCTACAAAAAATTGCACAATAGGAAAAGTTTGTGTTTCAATGGCTTTTCAATGTATGATTACAAAATATTTATTTATTATAAACATATTAATAAACAATCAATTAATTGTGGTAATAACGCGACAACATTCTATTTTTAATATTAAACGTCACAGTTGCTCCGGAAGTGTTGAAATTCTTGTCATTATAAATCAATAATGATGTCAACCCAGCTATACTTGTAAAGTATTATTTTATTAGTGAGAACTAAGATGTATGGACTTTAACCGATGATGATAGATTATGCATATAGTGTACATCTCAAAATTCCAGTGGACCTGTATGAAAAAAAAGTGTAGAAAGAAGCTTAAGATGATTTTTAAAAATACGTTCGTTTGAGAAAATTTACATTAATATTAATAAGTATACTACTAATACATAAATAGAATGTTGATTAATAAAATTACCAAATATGATTTTTAATCATCACTTGTTGTATTTACAGGTTCTTGGAAACTTCTGATTGGGTAAAAAATATTATTAATATAATTAATATAGTAATAATTAGTGTATTGGTTTTGATTACGCAATAAACGTTGGTAAAAATTTAAATTTGTGCCAAAATTTCGTGTATTTAAGTTTAATTTTTGTGACATATTAAATATTAATATTAATATTAATATATATAAATTCTCGGTCCGTTGTAGAACAAGGTCCGTCGTAATAATTAATAAATAATAATGAATGATAATGATAAACCCAGTCCTGATGTATATGCAAGTGGTTGTTTTCAATTGATCACCGACAATTTTATTTGTTCGTACTACGATCATTAAAAAGGAACTTAAATTTAATTTGTCGCATAAAATTATTCTCCATCTTGCTTTTTTTACTATTACCAGATTTCGGCATGATTTAATAGCCGGTGGGCCTTACTAACTTCCCAAGCTTAATTTTTTATCCATAAAAAATGTATATATAAACTCCAAAAATTTTCGATCGTTAAAAATCTCAAAGAAATAAATTGTCCTTTGAACTTGGGATACATATTATTGTAAAAAATAAAAATAAAAATAAAAATAAAAATAAAAATTCCCCAATATTAAATAAAAAAATTATTTCTTTATAATAAACAAAATGTCCAATAAACAATTAGTTACATTAAATATCGATGATAATAATAATAATAATGGATTACTGGATCCAGAGGCTGAAAATGTTTTAAAGTCTCAAGTTAATATTGACGAACATAAACCATCGTATTGGCAATTATATTCTTTTGCCAGTAGAAAAGATTGGTGTATAATGATTTTTGGTTTAATATTTTCTGCTATTAGTGGTGCTACTACGGTAAATACTTGCGACTTTAAAAAAAATATATCTAACATGTTGCGTAATATATTATATATTTCTAAAACTAATTAATTAATTGAATTCATTAGCCATCAACGACAATCATATTTGGAAAAATGGTTAATTCTTTCACGGAATTCCAAACAGGCCAAATTAAGGGTGAAGACTTTCAAAAAACAGTTAATAGTAACACATTATTCTTTGTATACCTTGCCATTATTACTTTTGTTGCCACTTATATTTATATGGCATGTTGGGTTTATACTGGTGAAAGGTGAATAATTAATATTTATTACACGAATCAACTGCGCATTTATTATTAATTTACTAATTTGTTAGTGATATTCCCCCCAAAAAAAAATCATTTAGAATTACACGAAAAATTCGTGAAGCTTATCTTCGTGCGATACTTCGTCAAAATATTGCTTATTTCGATAAAATTGGTGCTGGTGAAGTAACAACTCGTATCACCTCTGATACCCATTTGATCCAAGATGGTATTAGTGAAAAAGTTCCCGTAGCTGCTCATGTAATTATCAAATTAATTTAAATAGTTTTATTTCATTTTTTAATATTAATCTGATATAAATTTTATTCTTCATACACTTTCTTTATTTTTTAGTATATTGGTGAATTCATTGCTGCATTTATTATAGCTTTTGTAAAAAGTTGGAAAATGACACTTGTGATTTGCTGTGCAATACCATTGATTGCAATAACAAGTGGAGTCATGAATAAATTCACTTCAGTATACATGAGGAAAGCTTTGGACTCTTATTCATTTGCTGGTACAATAGCTGAAGAAGTTATTTCAACAATCAGAACTGCTGTGGCATTTGGAAACCAGAAAAAACTTTCTAAATTATATGATGTACATTTGGGAAAAGCTAAAGTTCAAGGTGTGAAAAAATCTATAGTCAATGGTACTTCAATTGGTGTCACCTATCTTTTTCTTTATTCAACATATGCCTTGGCTTTTTGGTTTGGATCAACTTTGATTTTATCTGGTGAATTGGCTTCTGGTGATGTTGTAAATGTATTCTTTGCTGTGATGATTGGTGCTTTCTCTCTTGGAAACCTTGCTCCTGAGATTCAAGCTTTCAGTTTTGCAATTGGTGCAAGTTCAAAAATTTTTGAAACAATTAACCGGGTTCCAGTAATTGATTCTTCATCTGAGGAAGGTGAAAAACTTGTAGATGGTGTTCAAGGTCACATAGAACTTAAAAACATCTCTTTTGTTTATCCTGCAAGACCTGATGTTCAAACTTTGGATAATGTTTCATTGGATATTCCAGCTGGTTCCACTGTGGCTTTGGTTGGTTCATCTGGATCAGGAAAAAGTACAATTGTATCACTTGTTCTCAGGTTCTATGATCCTGTTATGGGAAGTATTACAATTGATGGCCATGATATAAAATCATTTAATTTGAAATGGTTACGTAGACAAATGAGTTTGGTGGGTCAAGAACCTGTACTTTTCAATACAACAATTGCTGAAAACATTGCTCATGGCTTGATTGGTTCAGAGTATGAGCAACTTAATGATGAAAAAAAACATGAGATGATTGAAACTGCATCTAAAATGGCAAATGCACATGATTTCATTATGAAATTACCAAACAAGTATGACACAATGGTTGGTGAAAGTGGTTTCTTATTATCTGGTGGTCAAAAACAACGTATAGCAATTGCTCGTGCTATTATTAAAAATCCAACAATTTTATTACTTGATGAGGCCACAAGTGCTCTTGATACCAAGAGTGAGGGAATTGTACAAGATGCTCTTGATAAAGCTTCACAAAATCGTACAACTATAGTCATTGCCCATCGTTTGTCAACAATCAAAAATGCAACAAAAATTATTGTGATGGATAAAGGTGTTATTGTTGAATCTGGTAATCATAATGAACTTATGGAAAAAGAAGGTTACTATTTTAAATTGGTTGAAGCTCAACATATAACAAGTAAAGCTGAAGATTCATCATTATTATCAATTCCAACTGAAAAACTAGAGGAGATTTTTCCTGATGATGTTCAAATAAGTCGCATTGCTACAAATAGGTCAAATAAGTCAGCATCATCAGCAATAATATCTAAAAGGTTGGCTGATATTGAATCTGGTATCAAAAGAGATAGTGATTATAAAACATTCGAACTTATAAGAAAAGTGGTTGCTATAAATCGACCAGAACTCCCATTAGTAGTTCTTGGATTATTTGGTGCTATTGTGGCTGGTTCTGTTCAACCTGTGTTTGCTGTGATATTTTCAAAAATCATACAAGCATTTGCTACAACTGGTGACGAATTAACTCATGAGGCCAAATTTTGGTCACTTATGTTTTGTGTGTATTTTCTTTCCTTTATTTTTACAATGTCATGAATTTTTTTAGATATTATTAATTTATGAATACTTACTATATTATTTATTAATTACATTAAATAGTGGTTATTGCTGTTGTAACTATGTTGGCTAATGTTATACAAGGGATAACATTTGGAATTTCTGGTGAAAACCTTACACAACGTATACGGTCACAATCATTTGCAGCAATATTACATCAAGACATATCATTTTTCGATGAGGAGAATCATACAGTTGGTGTATTGACAAGTTCATTATCACTGGATGCAACACATGTGAATGGATTGGCTGGTGCAACACTCGGAACAATTTTACAAGTTTTTGCAACTATAATTGGTGGATTGATAGTTGCATTGGCAGTTGGATGGAAATTGGCTTTAGTTTGTATGGCAACAATACCTTTATTGATAGGATCTAGTTTATTACGTATGAAAATGTTAAATGGATTTCAAGAAAAAACCAAAAAAGCATATGAACATTCTGCTCAAATTGCATGTGAAGGTACAGCCAACATGAGAACTGTTGCAGCTCTTACACGTGAAGATGACTTGTGGAGTATTTATCATCATTTGTTGGATGAACCAATGAAACAAGGAACATATAATGCTTTTTATGCATCAATTGCATTTGCAGTTGCACAATCTATATTGTTCTTTATTAATGGATTGGCATTTTGGTATGGAAGTGTATTGTTTAGGACTGGTGAATATGATTTACAAAAATTTTTTACAATTTTTGTAGCCATTATTTTTGGATCAATGTCAGCTGGACGTGTATTTGGATTTGCACCAGATATTGTAAAAGCAAAATCAGCAGCTGCATCCATAATTGCATTATTGGAGAGTAAACAAAATATAGGAAATGATGGTGAAAGAGTCAATAATATCAAGGGACATATCAAATTTATCGATGTACATTTCCGGTATCCAACAAGACCACATGTCCCAGTATTGAGAGGGTTGACACTTGAGATCAAACCTGGACAGTATGCTGCATTAGTTGGACCTTCTGGATGTGGTAAATCAACAACAATTGGATTGACTGAGAGATTTTATGAAACAACAATTGGTAGAATTGAAGTTGATGGGATTGATGCTTCCAAAATGAATATTAATGATCTAAGATCAAACATAGCGCTTGTTTCACAAGAACCATCACTTTATGATATGACAATTAAAGATAATGTGTTATTTGGTGCCAGGGAAGGACAATCACCAACACAAGAAGATGTTGAAAGAGCATGCAAGGAAGCAAACATACATGATTTTATTAAAGATTTACCAGATGGTTATGACACTTATGTAGGTGGTAAAGGAGCACAATTATCTGGTGGACAAAAACAAAGGATTGCTATAGCAAGAGCTTTGATTCGTAATCCAAAAATTTTACTACTTGATGAAGCAACATCAGCACTTGATTCAGAATCAGAGAAGGTTGTTCAAAAGGCATTAGATTTGGCAGCTAAAGGCAGAACAACATTGGCAATTGCACATAGATTAAGTACAGTACAACATGCTGATGTAATATTTGTGATAAAAGATGGCAAAGTACATGAACAAGGTACTCATCAAGAATTATTATCAAAGAATGGTATATATTATAATATGGTACAAGAACAAGATTTAAGTACAAATAAATAAGGATTTTTATTATTCTAAACAATTTGTATTCAATTATTTTAATTTTAATTTTAAGGTATAAATATAGATTAATTTATTTTTTTAACTATGGGTGGGATTTTAAACATTAATTAATAAAAAATTATTAATAATATATTATATTATATGAAGTGAACAGGTAAATAATATATATTATTTAATGTGGTGAACCAAAACCAAATCGTGTGAATTTAAAATTTAAAATTCACACGCACAACATTAATGCAAAGCTTATTTAGTCCGAGACTCTTATCTATAATTGTTTTGCTATTTTCAACCGCCAAAATGCTTGGACATAGTGAAACTTTAATACTAATAGATTTTTCGAAAAAAACTCCCAATGTAATGTCAATTAAGTCAAAGGCCATTGTTCCCCTTTGAATTTCCATTCCTAAGGGTTGCAAAAAGATTATTTAGGTAAACGACAAACAATGTCCGAAACCTTCTAATTTTTTAAGTTTATAGAAATGTCAAATATTAAAGTTTGACAATTTAGGCGTTAATTATTCGTGCCCTATCTCTATTCTACAGTCAAACCTTGATAAATCGATTTTCGCTTATAACGATGCAAAATTGGTTAACCGAATCATAATCATCGTTAAGCCGAATTTTATTATAATTTCTATTTTACTTGATAAACCGAACTTAATGGTTTGTACAAAATAATAAAAGCCGAATATGATCATAAACTGATTTTAAAATTCGTCTTATAATGATAACGCTTAAAAAATAATGCTCGATCTACTTTCTATTTTAACCATGTCATGTTCTAATAAAAAAGCACGATAATTAGAATTTTTGAATAATATTGAGGTTGATAATGTTGAACGAGGAAATCGTGAATTTCAAGATTTAATTAACTAACTCCCATTTGATGATTCACTTTTAGCGGACGAGCATTTAAATATTGAGAATAACATGGTTGCAGATGAATTAGTAATGGAAGATGAGGATATTATTGCATTAATTCAGCCAACAGAAATAGATACCTTTATTCCAGAAATTTCTATCAAGATACCATAATGGAATTTATTAAATTTTTTAGTATGCCCTCTAAGTGATTTCGATGTATGCGAAGATGAATTAAAGTGCATTCGTACTCTTGGGAAAATTTATCAAGTCATAAGATTAATAGTTCAGCGCAACAATCTTTAGATAAATATTTTTGTTTAGAATAATTTGTATCATAAACCGAATTTTGATTCCCAAAAGTTCGGTTTAACTGTACATTATATCATCCAATATGACAACCAAATTGCCTTGAACATCATAGCAAATAATTGGAAACTTCTTCAACTCTGATCTTCTGGGAAGTTTAATAGTGAAAATTATATGCTAAATTTTTGTCAAACATTTTAAATCCTTTTGTGATATCACTTCTGTAGATGATATTTATAACCAAGCTTGTGTTCCTTCCCATAGCTTTTATTTTCCCCGCCCATATCATCTTCCATACATTGCATTTTGTAGTCGCAGTGTGAGATTCCATGGATTGGTTTTGTAAAGCTGTTTTTTTTATCTGGCGGTCGAAACATTCTTACTGTAACAGTAAGCACAGTTTCAAACTGAGACTATACATCAAGTCGAAATGTTTCGACTTGAGGCAACTACATAGTAAAAATCAGTTTCGACCCTATTTAGACCAGATCTGCAAATGGTTGAAATAGTTTCGACCTCATGTATAACTGAGACTACCTCAGCATTGTTATTCACATCACTGTCATCAGTGTTGATTGGAATGATTGCTCTATGTAAAATATGATCTGGTACTTTCTGAACACTTCAAAAGTACTTGTCTTTTCCTACAACAATGGTTTTGATTTGTCAAGCATCAAAAGTTGTAAAAAGACAATTTTCAATCTTTAAAAAACTGCTGCATATCATGACTTTAATAATTGGATGACTTATTCACTTTGACCACTTCAGTCAGTAGAGATTCCGTACAAATTTCAATTCCGTACACTATTTTTTTTTGCTCCGTACATTTTTTATTCTTGTTCTTATTTTTTAATTTTGTACGGAACGGAATTTGTGAATTCTGAAAAGTCGATTGGTGGGGGCCAGTCTGTGCGATCTTCGATTCCATATTTCCATACAGAGCAGTATTTACTATAGAAGCGCAGATGTACGGAATACGAAGCCTCTATAGACTCTGACCACTTTTGATTCCAATCCCAATTGTGGGCTGATTTGGATTAGTATACATATTTTTCTGTTGCTTTGAAAACATTCAAGGATAACCTTTATAAGGAATAAATATTTCTTGTACTGATGATAGAAATCAATTGGCACAAACCATACATGATTAAATCCTCAATATATTTTACATCCTCTTTCTTATTAGAAAACTTTGGTGATAAACTTTATTTAGTATGGAATAATTGGAAGATCTGTATAATTTCATCTCAAGATGGAGAGAATTGGGGAAAGACTGTGAGTTATGTTATGGACTTCGATTTACACCTAAACCTGTAGTAGGTATGTGCCAATTATGGTTTTGAAAAAAAGAAGCCAATATGTTATGAACAAATGTGATTTTGGTTTTCACACCAAATTCTTATTCGAATAGAAACACCATTAATATGACATTAAAAGAAATTTAGGAATCCGGTTTGGATCGAATCGAGTCGAATTTTAAAGTGATTTGACTCGATTCGATTCGTCCGGGAAAAGCATCCTCAATTTTGATTTTTATGAGTACTAAAGAAAAAAGATCAACATGTTGTCAATTGTCATTGTCATGTTCAATCAAAATTAGTAAACATCACAAAGAGTATTAACAGACGAATAAATAACAAATTATTCGACATTGCAAACAGTGTACAAATATTCTCTCAAACGGATAATAAATAAATGAAATAGAATGAGTGAAAATAATTTTTTGTATATTTTTTTATGCAATTTGTTCACTATCTTTCTCTTCATCCAATTTCTTTCGTAATGACTTCCTTTCTTAACCTTCTCCCGCGTAACCTCTTTTTCCTTCTTCAGCTTTTGCTTTTCATCATCTAACCTTTTTCTCTTTCATCCAACTTCTTCTCCAATTCTTCTCCCTTCCAATTCGTTCAATTCTTTTTCCTTGCCCTCATCTTTAAATTTTTTCAACTCCTTTTTTTGTTTCTTCACACTATTATATTTTTTTTCAATTGCTCTTTGATCATTGTCATTTTAAAGTATGAAAATTAAAAATTAATTTTTAAAAAAAATTTTTTTTATTAAATCACGATCGTGGCCAGGAACTGAAGGACCGAACTAATACTAATGTTGAATCAGAAATTCTGCCGAAATCTGAAACCCCTGTCGAATTTAAAATCCCTGGTCGAAACCTTTTTTATACTAGGGGTTCTGACTTATTCAAATTATTGGTTTTATTCGTTATGAACTCGAGTATTCGAATAAAACGAATAAAGGGAGTAAAATGAATAATTTGTTACTATTGAAATTATTGGAATTAAATTATTGAACACTTATTTGTTAAATTATTTGCGATTTACATGCGTGAAATTCAAATTAGCCAATCAGATTTTCATATCCAAGCACCACCCTAAAATTTTTAATTATTAGTTTCAATTTTCACATACTAATACTAATACATTAATGTAAAATGCATTGTACTATTGTTTCTTACTAACTAAATCTATATATTAATATTAAAAAAATTCTTGCTAAAATATTTCGAGAAAATCTGTATTGATTGTTTTGAAATCCCTTCCACAAAGCCTCAAAAGACCAAGGAAAAATCCGATTAATTAGCTATAGATAAATTCGGTGGTGAAGGTAGGCATTTTCGTAAATGTTTTTTTGAAAGAAATTCTTGTAATATAAAAAAAATTATAATAATAATAAACATAACTTGTAAATTGAGTGTAACGTGTGATTTGCATAATAAATTTACCATACAACTCTATTTTTAGAGGCCAATCTATTGTGACACGATAATAATTTTTGGAAAGTCATGTGATAAAGTGCTTAAAAAATTTGAAACATTTGTTTACCACTGAATATCCATTCATTTTATATATTTATTCAATATCCAGATACTCATTCATTTGGCGATTAAATTGATTATTCAGTGAATATATTCGTTTTTAGCAAAAAATTTTAAATTTATTAAACATTTCACATTCTATCAAAATCATCAATATTTTTCCTCAAAAAAACAATCATTGTATTTCCAGCTTGATTAATAATCTCTCTGGACGTTGCAGGTGCACGCAAGTATTTAGTAGCTTACTTTGACAAAACAGAAAATCCGGAATGGATCATCTTTCCATATCCAGCTTGACTTCTTAGAACCACCTTTTACTTCAAAAAATGAGCAGCAGAAGACTCCTCCCTCTTCCCTCTTCCCTCATTGTGACTGAAAGCTCTCTCTTCTTTCATTTTAAATGAATGGAAGTGAAAAAATTAATTTAATTAGTTAGAAATGAATATTCACTTTTGATCCATCATATCCGGTCAATCAATCAATGAAAAAGCAAAATGTCCGATTAATTGAATATTCAATGAGGTTGGGTGCAACCTCTAGTTATAGCGAATATTACCTTTTATCGAGTATCAATAGATCAATAATAGTAATAATATTAATAAAGGTTCTCCTTATTTTAATATTAATAATCTTACAATTCTATAAATAGGTTATTTGACCAATATATAGCAGAAATTTCGGGTTGCATTGAAATTTCGTACTACTACAACGGTACATGACTAGCGCCAAACTCTAAAAAGGAATTAATTTTATTAATGGGAAACAAGTATCAGTTATGTTAGTAAAGTCGCCCGAAAATTTTAAAATAATAATAATAAATAATAATAATAATAATAATAATAATAATAAATACAATTAATTTTTAAATTAACCCAATTAATACAATATTATTTAATAATTAATTAATTTAGTGTTGAGAACATTGTTCAACTTTCTTTGCAACACAAGACTAACAAATTTAGCTGTGAATTTAAAAAAAACCAAAATCTGAAATTACATTCAATCAAAATTACCCCTTTCATTATTTTTTTTTTAGTAATAACAATAATTCCACACATAATTCTTTTTTTACACCTACCTTCCTTTTCTTTTCTCTCCTCCATCCCCTTGATATCGTCATCATTCATATTCTAATGTTAATTTAATCTATAAAAAATAAATCCTTTTGCCGCAGGCGACTTTTCCCAAATTTTTTAAAAAAAGATTCAAAAAAATTTATATATATATATAAATAAATAATTACACATATATATTTACCTTCCCTTGATAATTAATCATAAGGAATTATAATCAATAAAAACAAAGCCCCAGAATGCAATACAATGACGAATTTTATCAACCACCTTATTCGCCAGCACCCTCTACGTTCCCAGCTCCAACTAGAACACCACCACCAGTTGCTGGCGAGCCTCCAAACCTTGTAACTGCAATATTTAATGCCGTAATTCAAAATAATGTTGGTTTAGTAAGTTCAATTCTGAGCGAAAAAAGATTCAACCCTGACAATTTAAGAAATAGAGATGGAAAAACTCCTTTAATGGTGGCTGCTTGCGAAAATTGTCCCGACATTGTTAAGTTATTGGTTTCTTTACATATTAAGATAGATTTGCAAGGTAAAATATTTATTATTATATTAAAGAAATTATTTTAATTTTGATTTTTTTAAATTTTAAATATTAAATATTTTTTTTACTTTGCATTAAATAGATAACGATGGTGAATCAGCATTATACCAAGCAGCTGCATCCGGAAGCACGGAAGTAGTTGAAATTTTAATTGTCGCACATGCTAATGTTGAATTAGGAAACAAGGTAAATAAATTGTTTTTTTAAATTTTCTATTAATCTAAAATAATAGTATTAAAACTATGTATGTACGTATATGCGCGTGTGCGTAGGAAACTATCACGCCAATAATGATTGCAGCCTATAATGGACATGCCGACATATGTCGAATACTTTTGGATTATGGTCGTGCTAATATTAATTATCAAGATAAGTTTCGTAAAACTGCATTGATGCTGGCTTGTTATGCAGGTCGTTTTGAAGCAGCCGAAGTATTATTGGATAGAAGTGCGGACGTTAATTTATTAGATCAGGTTTGAAAAAAAAAATTTTTTTTCCCGTAAATATTTTAATAATAGTTTTAATTAAAATATTTTTTTAAAATAAAAAAAAATGAATAATAGTACGGTTGGACATCTTTAATGATTGCAGCATATGCAGGTCATGTTGAAATTTGTCATTTATTGTTGCATCATAACGCTGATAAAAATATTGCAGCAAAAGATAAAACGGCTGTCATTCTTGCAAGGGATGTAGGACATCATAGTGTAGCAAATCTAATTGAAAATTATGTACCTGGAACAAAACCACCTGTAAGATCTGTGAGATCACGACAAATCCCGAATCATGATCAATATTCTAACGTTGGTGGTCGTGATACACCACATTATGCACGACAAAGTCCTGACCCTCTACGACAACAACAACAACAACAACAACAACAACAACAACAACAACAACAACAACAACAACAACAACAACAACAACGCCAAGTACAATCTCATCGTCAACGCCATCAAAATCAAAGCATCCAATTAGATGAACAAAATCCCTATGCATCCAAAGGTATTATGATGCCTTTAGTACATGAGCAATCAAGACGTACCATACAGCCAAAAAATGCTAACAGAAGATCAAAATATTATAGTCTCGCTGGCCCTGGGATTGATGATCCAAATCCTGCACCATTTACAGCGCCTCATTTAAAACAAGATATGGCTCCAAGAAAAGACAATTCATCTTGGGTTATTTTTTCTTTAATAACAACTTCATGCTTTTGCAATCCATGCTTATCAACTATTGGTAGAATGAAAGATCCAAATGTGCGTCAAGCTTGGAGGGAAAAGGTTGCACTTTGTATAATAATATTAATCATATCTGGATTTATGGGATTTTTAGCATTTGGTTTGGCTACAATTGCATGTCAAAAAAAGGAGCCTCTCCTTCCTGAAAATATCCTTAGAGACTTTGGACCTGACCAACCTAATGCTAAAGCGCATATTGTCCGTGGAAGGCTTTACAATACTGGTGTCTACTTTCTTAGTGGATCGCATAGACCTATTGCGCCATTTTCAGATGAACAATTGAACGACATTATTGTGAAATTATTTGGCAAAGATATTTCTGGATTTTTTCCTCCAAACAATTTACTTATCGGATGTGCTTACACACCAAAAGACAATGGAACAATTTGTTCTCAAGGATTGTCAGATCCAAGATACCATTGTCATACATCTTCAAAATCGTTATTGACTCTTAAAGAACTTGATATGAATCAATTTGTGGGTTACTCGTGGGATAATGTTACCGATGGAGACAGGCAAATGTTTGTGTATAAAGAAAATGTCTATGATATTACAGACTATCTTAATTTGACACCTGATCAACAATGGCTTGGAGACAGTAGTACTACGGAATGGTTAAGAAGTCTTGTACATAAAGATGCGACTAAAGATGTTTTACGCACTCAACAAAATCAAAATTTTGCAAAATGCTTTGATCATTTTTTGGTTGGAGAAATTGATGGAACAACTATCGGGTGTGTTGCCACAAACGTAATATTAATAGTAATGACGGTGGTTTTCACAACAATTACCTTGATTAAATTTACGTCAGCAGTTGCATTCTCGTGGTTTTTATCTTCGCAACTTGGAAAAATTTCAAAGAAACCAAAACTTGAAAGTGATATTACAAACATCATATTGTTGGTAACATGTTATTCAGAAGGAGAAGGTTCTATGCGCACAACAATTGATTCATTGGCAGCGTCAGATTATCCAGATGATCACAAATTATTATTTGTTATTGCTGATGGAGACGTAACAGGATCAGAAAATGATCGATCAACGCCACAGATATGTAAAGATTTATTAACACCATTGGATGGTTCTCCAGAACCTGAACCTAAATCATATTTAGCCATTGGCGATGGACAAAAACAACATAATATGGCACAGGTATACATAGGATATTATAATGTTAGTGGACATAAAGTTCCAATGGTTTTAGTTATAAAATGCGGTACACCAGAAGAAAAAAAAGGAGCAAAGGCTGGTAACCGTGGTAAACGAGACTCGCAACTCATATTGATGCAATGGTTAAGTCATATAATATTTAATGAGCGTATGACACCTTTGGAATTTGAATTATTTGAAAAGGTTCGTTTACTCACCAAATTAACACCAGATCGATATGAAATGGTGCTTATGGTAGATGCAGACACTGTGGTTAAAAAGGATAGCGTGAAGCATATGATTGCAGCCATGGAACGTGATCCTACAGTTATGGGATTATGTGGTGAAACAAAAATTGCTAATAAAACTGCCAGTTGGGTTACAATGATTCAGGTAACATATTATTAATATAATTGGTTTTTTTTTTTTTTTTAAATTGATAATGATGATTTTACATGTTAAATAATAATAATATAGGTTTTTGAATATTATATATCACATCATCTTGGAAAAGCTTTTGAATCTATATTTGGTGGTGTCACGTGCTTGCCAGGTTGTTTTTGTATGTATCGTATTAAAGCACCTAAAGATGGATATTCAGTTCCAATACTAGCAAATCCAGACATAGTAGAGGTTTATTCTTCGAATACGGTCGAGACATTACATCAAAAAAATCTTTTGCTTCTTGGTGAAGATCGATATTTGACCACATTAATGTTGAGAACATTTCCTAAGCGCAAAATGATTTATGTACCCAAAGCAATATGTAAAACAGTGGTACCCGATGAATTCAAAGTATTGCTTTCTCAACGACGTAGATGGATTAATTCAACTATTCACAATCTTATGGAACTTATTCTTGTACCACAACTTTGTGGTATCTTTTGTTGTTCTATGCAATTTGTTATTTTCCTTGAATTGGTGGGCACAGTAGTTTTACCCTCATCATTAATATTTCTGGTTTATTTAGCTGTTATGGCAGTACAAGGACAACCTGTTCTACTACCATTGATTTTCATCTGTGCAATGTTTTTACTGCAGGCAGTCTTGGTCATATTCACATCTCATAGAGTTATGTATGTATTATGGATGATTGTTTATATATTTGCTATTCCTATATGGAATTTTCTTCTGCCTGTGTATGCGTTCTGGCATTTTGATGGTAATTATATTCATTCTATATTATATTTTTTTTTTGTTATTTTTATCAAAATTAATTATTTAATTATCTAAAAAAAGATTTCTCATGGGGAGCAACACGTAAAATTTCTGGTGAAGATACAGGACATGGTGAAGGAGGTGGAAATAAATTTGATCGTACAGGGTTCCCAATGAAACGTTGGGATGAATGGATGCTTGAAACACAGAAACAAACACAATTTTTACCAGCTTACGCTCCACCAAATAATGCATCTTCTTACCCAACAACAACAGGAATGGGGATGTCGCCATCAAGACCAACATCGCCGTTACCACCACAGCAACCACAAGGTATTTATAAAAAGAATAATAATAGTAATAATTCAATGATGGCGCACAATGATAATCCTAATAATAGAATGATGGGATATAATAACGGTGGTGAACAAGGTGCTTATAACAATATGGGTTATAATAATAATGGTGGTGGTGGTGGTGGAAGACTAATGGGCCCTAGAAATCTTAATCAAAATCCATATAAATTTTAATTAATTTATAGATATATATATATACCATGTATTTTTAATATTTATCATGTATTTTTAATATTTATCATGTAATTTTTTATTTGTAAACTAATAATTTTTTAATTTTTGGGAGAAATAGACTTAATACTTAATAAAATATAATATAAATAAAAATACTGAACATCACAACTGTGCCTACCAATATAATGTGGTCATCAATGGTTATTCCTCTTAATAATCAATGGTCTGAATATCATATCAATAATAACGCATGGTCAAGTACACACCCGACAAGAGTATATTATTAATTTTGTTCTAGAAGCTTTTGAGTATTGTTCAATTTGTTGTTGGTTTGCCAATATCTTGTTTTGCCTAACCTATTACTTTAATGGGGGAGACTACACTAAAAATTTTGAAGAATGAAATCATTAATAGAAGACTACCACTGTAGTCACGGGAACAGAATTGATTTTATGATCTCTTTTTGTAGGTAGATCATAAGAAAATAGCTGAAGATTATGATCAACTATATCATTAAAGAATATCCTGGTGATTATGAAATGTTGAAATTATTTGGAATCCAAGAATTGTTTCCCGAGTAGTCATACTAACATCATGCATGCAAAAGAATTAAACGTGTTTGAAAATATAAATAAAAATCCATACTAATGCTCGCAACATTGGTCCTAACCTTTGTTTACTAACTAAAGCAAATAAAGCATGGCTTTTTACCAAAATTCCACAATTGTTGTCTTTTTACTGAGGCACTCGCGTCAAACAAAAATAAAATAAAAAAAATATTAGCCAGAACACCAAATTCAGTAAAAGGCCGCAAAAAAATAGTAATTTGGTGATGTAACCATGTTAATTCATATGTAAAAAAAAATTGATTTTTAAAAGGATCATCAATTAAAAGCTTTACGGTTTTTTTTGTAGATTGTTTCTGCCTTGTCTAGATCACCTGAATCTCTATATATGATCAATTAATTAGTTTTTTTAGAGTTAAAGGATCTGCAAGGCCAATAAATTTTCCAAACTAGATATTCGAAAGTTCTGTCATGTGTAAAAAATTAACCAATCAGATTTCTACTGATAGTTTCGTATCACTCGGCCTGCACGTAAACAAACAAAAAAGTAACAAATTTTTATTACATTCTGCAAATAATAAAATAATAAATAATAATGTTGAGAGGATGTGGAGCAATTACAATACATGTTTTAGTATTAATTACATTATTATTATCATTTGTATTTATAAATCATGATTATATACCTGAACAAATTCCTGCCAGATTTACTGGGTATCCACAATGGCGTGTTGATGCTATTAAATGTGATTTTTATTGTTACAAATTTTATCGATTTTTCTTTTCTTAAATATGGTAATATTAATCATCCAAATTATTGTTATTAGATTGGGATCAAGAAAGATATGATGCATCATTATCATTTATGATAATTTCTACACTAATATCAAGTTACTACTCGTACAAATGGGTAAACAACCAAAACAAACAAGCAAAAAAATACATCACATACTTGTACCAAGAGAATGGGAGTAGAATATCATCAATCTATTTTAATCGATTTCTAAGCTATTATTTGATTTTCACAGCATTGGCAACTATCACATTGTTTATATTTGATATTGGTAAATTATGGTCAATATTTGGAACTTTACATATTATCGGCGAGGTGATTGTTATGTTGCTGTTGTCACAAGGTGGTAAGATCTCTTCATATTGGTTTTATGGAATAGTTGGTGGCTATATATTCCTTGTCAATGTTATAAATATTAGTTTGTCATGGCCTTATGATGCTATATGGTTTAAGTGGCAAGGTAAATATATTTATTATTGGAGAAATGCAAGGATGAGCGATACACATATATTTTACTAAATACTTAATTTGTTTCGTAGGTTTTTGCTCAGATTTTGCAATCTTAATAGTATTCACACGTATTTATTTATCAACAAGTGAATATGTCAGGGAACAAACATCAGCTCAACTACCAATTATAGATGATGAAGATATGAATATGGAAAATTCATCATCAAGAAATGAGGAAAATTCAATTGCACCAAAAATAATAAATCATCCCAACCAATTGTTGTTATTGTGTTTTGCCTCCTTTATTCATATACTTGGTAATGTTGTGCACACATTTAATCCATTTGATGGTAGAAGGTAATGATTTCATTTTTGTTATTTTGTAGTCAGAAGATTAAATTATTATGCACTTGAAAGATTAAATTGATTGATCGATTGGTTGATTGATTTACTAATTCAATATTTCTTCCACTCACTCTTATGCTCATTCTCTTCTTACTTAATTGTTAGGTATATTGTGTTGAATCTAAGTTATGCTATAACATTCCCGTGTATTGCACTATACATTTATCTTGATACACATTGTACAAGTGTCCTCCAATCAAAAAGAATTTTATTACCTGACACTCCAGATTGGAAAGTTATTGTTATAACTATTATGTCTATTATTTTTGCTACTTTGATTATTAGAATTCCTTTTCTCATTTTAATTTAATACATAATAATTTAATAATTTAATATATTTAATTTAATATATTTAATTTAATATTTTAAAATAAATTTTTATTTTATTTCAATGTAACCCTTTAAACACTTTGAGGTGATGATTTAATGAATTATGAGTATGTAGTTTATAACATGAACCTAAACCGCCAACAATATACTTGACTTTTCGTAAAACTCATCCAATACATGAATGTAAAAGTGCCTACAATAATATCATATTTATTATATGTAATTATTTACATTATATACAAGGTTCACTGGTAACAAATAAATCATATCCTTTACACAAATATGCTGCTACATCAATTGTCAATTTCTCTGTTTTGATAAACAACATCAACAACATCATCAATTTTTCTTTTTAATGTATTCATGCTGAGTTGTAGTTGTATTGTTGTTGCATTACAATTTTCTACAGATGCAACAACATCTAAACATTTAATAATTGCATGTTTAAGTGGATGTCTTGTGGTCGTTTTTGAAACACAACATTCTGCCAATATTCATGAGCCTTTTATATCTACTATTACACAACTAATTGGAATTTTTGAAATTGGGCATTGGTTTGATTTTGAATTGTGAATGCATAAAAAAATATTGTGTATTCAATAACAACACATCTCTTGATTTGATAGCTAATTCAATATATATCCTTTGGTATTTTCATATAAAATTGTTTCTACCATATTTATTATTATGAATACAAGTTAGTTTTACAAATTTTTGTTGATTTACATAATAATTATGAAAAACAAATAACATTTCCTTCACCCTTCCCTTTCCTTTATATATGTATATATATATATACTTACTTTTAATATTCTAACTGGCCATAATCGTACACTCATAAAATTGAAATTTAATTATAGCAAGATATTTTGGAATTTGTTCAATTTTAGGAGTTAATATTGAATCAAAATTGTGTTTCTTGATTACAATCAATCATCAGTTGATGGTATATTATCATCATTTATCCTGTTTTTTTTGATGTGTTTAATTAATTAATTGACAATTGAATTGATTAATTACGAGTATCCATTTTATCACGAGTACAATAATGTGCAAATAAAGAATTATTGTTAATTTTATATATTATTTTTACTAATTATGTTTAGGAATATTCAGATGGATGAGATTATCTGGATTTGTTTGTAAGAAAGTGTTTAATTCATTTTCGAAGTAATTCTTTACAATAATAATAATTACAAATATTCAAATATTTACAAAATTATTTTAATTGTTACGAAATTTTAAAACAAACAATAATATCATAAATACATAAATATCAGACATCACTAAAGCTCCGAAACGAGCTGGGCTAACCCGAAAGTTTTCGGGTCGGGTTCGGGACCGAACCGAAATCCGAAAACTTTTGAGGTCAAAATTATTTAAATTGCAATTAAAATTTGCATTGCACCACCTAACATAATTTTATACAACTGACACAAGATGCAAGTCTCAATTCATGGTGCAAACATTATTCATTAGCTAATAAAACCTTTTTGGCTATGAAGCATTGATGTTTACATTAAAAATTAAAATTGGATAAGTTTTCATGCAATAAATAAAGAGTTTTATATGTGGTTAAAGTTGAATTAATTCACACACACATCATGATTGTGTCTTATGTAGTGATGGTGGCTGAAATTATTTTAGCAAATCTGAAATAGTTTACCTATAGAAATTAGGAATTTAGGCTCCTAAACTAGTGACGAAATTTAAAAATTACCTAAACTATGGGCAAACTCCCTAAACTGTGGTTTAGATTGTCAAACCTATGACCAAAGTTTTATGATGAATAAAACGGATTTATCGTAATGCCGTCCAATCATATGCCAGACATGTGATTTATATAGTCTCTTTCGTTTTGTATTTTTTATTAATATTTTATATTTGCATTTTTGTTATTTATTTAAAAAAGATTATGGTTATCATAATGTCATTTTTTTGACCTAATTCGTTTTATAATAGAGTTCAATTGACCGCTTGGTTTTCACCCGCAGTTTAGGTTTCTCCAACTTCGCCGCAAAATTAGGCCTAAACTATGGGGTTAGTTCCGACCATCACCTACTAGCCCTGTGTCTTTAATTATGTATTGCGTCACGAATTGTCTTGAGTTACGTCTTGCGTCACGAATTGCCGTCTTACATCTCTTGCATCATGAATTGTATTTTACGTCACGCATAACACAAATTGCAGCTTTTAAACCACTGTGACTGTCTCGACTTTTTATTAATTAATAAAATAAAAAATTTTCTTATTAACCCGAACTCGACCCATTAGGAGCTTTAAACATCGCCATGTATTTTTTATAACAATTTTGCTATATCATATTAAATAAAAAGATCAATATCTGATACTGAAAATTTACCATCTTCAAAAAATATCAAAAAATCAATAAATACACCAAAAAGACCTAATCCTAACACTGAAAACTCACCATCTTTGAAAAAACAAAAAAATCATTAAAGCTTCAAAACGGTTTACCTGATATTGAATATATACCATCTACAGTAAAAATAGGCCTACTTAAACTTCTTAATGGAATTAATTTCTCTGACTTGGGTAAAATAGAAAAAGGGTCAAATATTTTTGTTCAGCAAGATGACACTTGACATTGATAATTTGGAAAACTTTTACATTTCAAGAACTCCAGAAATTGGAATAACATTCTTTGGCTACTACCTTCTTATCCAATTGATGAAAGCGGGGAAAGGTTTCCGGATTTCTTTCGTCAAGGAAATAAAGGAAATGCGAAGCAAAAATTATTCTTGTAACTCACCACAAAAAGGTAACTATCGACACTTGTTACTTGGGTGATCAACTATCGCTATTACTAATGCGTATTCCAGGGAAATATACCATCACAGAATCATCAAATCCTCAACAGATGATGTTCCAACAAATCCAAGTCATCATTGTCTTAAATGAAGAAGATTCCGTTGAACTATTTCTATGTTTATGAAGTAAATCCTTTTTTATTGACTCTAAATATCATCCCATTGATTTGTGCCCGGCGAGTAAGTCGATGTAATGATTTTTTTGAACATTAATAACGTGATTTACATAGAGCTTCTGAAAGCTTCAAACATTTTTCAAATGGGAATTTTTCCAAAAGGTTGTATTTTAGTAAGTTTTTATTGCAACCATTCAGACCCATAACATTCTTCTTCATATAGCGAATGACACTGAATAAATAATGAGATGAAGATTATCACGTGGTTCATACAGTATAAGTGTACAAGATATAAGCTCCATCGATGCATTTGACCTGGTCATATTTCTGAAGCACATTACTGAAACACAACAAGAATTTCTTAGTGGCGTTGGGGTTTACGCCCCAAGTAACAGTAATAGTAACGAGTATATTAATTATAATATACTAATACAGGTTCCCATACATCTGCGCCTCCGTAGTAAATCATGGAATCGAAGACCATACAACTGACCCCCAACGCAATCAACATTCACAAATTCCGTACAAAAAATTAAAAAGCAAAGGTAAAAAAATGTACGGAACAAAAAAGAATAGTATACGGAATTGAAAGTCCTACAGAATCTCTACTGACCGCAAAGTAACTGTAGAACTTGTCTACTTAAATACTGTTTGAGTAATAAGTTTAGTAAGAATATTCATTTTAAAAAACATGCGAAGTTACACGATAAAAATCTTCTTTGTTTAACATCGTAAACAATTAATTGATTATATTATTTGTGTGAATGTGTTTAATTATATGCAATGACTTTTTTTAAAGAAAAATGTTAAAAATGAAATAAATATATAGTCCAAAATAAGGTAATAAATGATAGAAATGTATAAAGTATTCATGCTATATATATAATTACACATTAAAAGACATAATTAAATCCTTAACATATAATTTTACAGTTCTATCAGCCACCCATTCAAAACATACAGATTCTCGGATAGAAGAAATCGTTAAATTTGCTATATATATATAATATATAATATTTATTATTAAAAATAAATAGTAAAAAAACAAGGATATATATTCAGATTTAAATAAATATATTAGCAAATCGAACCATTCAACCATTGAATTATTATTATGATTATTTTAAATAAATATATAAATAATTACCGTCATCTCCCAGATTAAATGGGAAAGTTTTAGTGGGTCTTAAAGTACTCGATAAAGTTTTAAATCCTTTTTTATTACTAACAATACCCCCGCCATCTGTTGTTCTTAAAATACCATTCCTACCACCACCATTATTGTTGATCATACCACCACCATTAACAGAAGTATTATTAGATGATAACGATCCTGCTATCATACCTAATAATCCTGGACTATTATTCCATACACGGACTGTACCTTCTTCAAGTGAACATGATATAATTAGGCGTCCATCACCTGAAAAAGTTACTGCAGTAACTGGTTTTGTGTGGCCCTAAGTAATAATTAATGATATTAATGAGCGAGAAATATTAATTAAATTAATAATAAATAGTAACTTAGCACTAAAAAAATCACCTCCAGGATATATCGCCTAGTAGCTGTACGTAAATCATATACAATCGAGGCACCTTCCAAAGTTCCAACTGCAAGCTTTTGGGATTCACCGTGAAAGGCTATAGAAGGAAAATTTTTTACTAAATCATATAAAACACTAGTAGTAATTGGTAGAACAGAATCTCTCATTTTTGGTATATTTGGATCCAATGATTTCACAACAGCTTCAGCTAAAGATGACAGATTTGTATATAGTAGTAGTGGTTTTTTACGAATAAACATTGATATTAATTTAAGAAATCCTATTTTTTCTGTAGGTTTTTCGGAATTATTAGTGTCATGGGTTAGTGTTGATACAAATAATGGTGTATTGGCCAAAGCTATTTGAAATACTGTTTTTTGTGCCATAATCGCTAAAATATTTGAATCGGTGTCTATTGCAAATCCAAATATTGTTTTTAAAACTGCTACTGCATCAAAATGTATTTAATTGATTGATTGTTAAGGTGTGTAAATATGTGTGCGGCATGTTTAAATAATAAATATATGTTAAAAAATATAATTTAATTAAAGGATATGAGGCTCCCAAGTTGAAAATCCTCTACCACATAATTCCAAAGCAATCAATCGATTAGCCAACTTTGTTTCGTCGTGAAACATTAAAATTAATGATAAAGCGGTGTTCTTTGCAACTCTAAAATAAAATTATAAGATTACTGATTGAGCAATTGAAATTTATCATTATTGATTCTTTTAACACAAATACATTATGAAATTCACTTTTTTGATAAAACTTTAGGATATTCTGCCCCAATAATTCCAAGTAACATTGTAGATCTAACCATGTATTGATTGGTAAATATTTCCGGTGATGTCACTGACGGTACTGGATTATAATTAATTAAATAAATTAATACAATTAATTTAATTAAATAACAATAATAACAAAGAAAAAGTTTACTAACAAAATTGCTTCCAATAATCTATAATTGACTGTTGCTCTTCTGTTGGCATGTTGTTTAATGATGAAGAAAATAAAGTTCTTGCTGCAAGTCGAATGTCATCTAAAAAAAAAAAATGATTAATGCGTTTTTTTATTAATTTATTAATTTATTGATTTATAAAATCTTACCAACAGGATCTTGAAAATATTTAGCTAGAAAAGATAAAGATGAGTGATAAAAATTTTCACCAACAAGATCTGGCAAAAAGGTGCCATAATGCGTAATTATATCACTTGTGTATTTTTCTAGTCCTAAATTTTATTAAATTTTTAAATCAATTATGCCGCAATTTTTAAACATATAAATATAAATATGCTCTCTTCTATAGAAAAGATATATTTTACCTTTCATTGATAGAAATGAGCGTGTCAAACCCACGATTGATAATAAATGAGCTGCTGTCATTGTATGTGATATTCTCCAAACCGATTTACCATCCTTAGGATATGGTGCAACAATTGATAAATTTCCATTTGTTCTATACAATAAAAATTAATTATTAATTAAATTATTATAAATAAAATAAAATATATTTATTTAAAAATTATTAAATTATTTTACCCTTTTGATCCAAACGTTAATTGATCAGAGGGAGTTTTTAATCCTAATTTTTCTATACAAATACCATCGAGAGTAGGATCATTTCCCCAAGACATCAATGAAGAAACAATAGCTTGTACAATTCTAGCATCAATAGCCTTGCATTCTGATTGTTGTTGTTGTATGAGATTGGAAGAGGGAGAAGAGATGGAAGAAGATGATGGTGTAGTTGATGATAGTAATAAATTTGGAGCAGAACGAGTAGCAGAACTATTTGTTGTCCATGAAAATATTTTAGAGATAGAAATAGGTTTTTCATCAAATTCTTCGTTCATCATTCCTGCTGTCGTTGTTTCTGTTGATCTGCTTGATTTTGAACCGATTTGTGAAACATGATAATGATAAATGTCGTTTATTAATTGTTTGATGTTTATTAAAAACACATAAAAATATGTGATTCCATCATCAGGAGAGTTAATTGGATATGATGTTATTGTTTGAAACTTATTATTCTTATTATCAATTGATCCATTTTTTTGCGGTATTGAGCTATTAAAATAATTTATAGGAAAATATTAACAATAGTCATATATATAACGTTCAAATTTTTTGTCTTAAAACCTTATTTTCCATGATTTATCTTTTAACATTTCCCTTGCATTTGATCCTACAAAAATTTGATGCAGTTCTGAATTTTGCGTCTAAAAATAAATAATTTAGATTTATTATTTGATCAAATAATAATAATAATATAATATTGTTATTTATAATTATATTTGTCATAAGAAATTCCAAAAATCCAAAAATTCAATTCTACTAACATGCCAAATATGTGCTGTCTCATCACTATAATATAATAACAAAAAATTTTCTGATGTTCTCCATTGAATTTTAGATAAAGGAAAAGAGTAACCACCAAATGTATACAAACTAAATAATAATAATAACAATAATAATAAATAAATAAATAAATATTTTTAAAAAAATATAACTAAATATAAATTTTATTTATTTATTATTTACCAACTCATTTCCTCCAATGAAATAATAGCCAAAGAATTATCTTTTGCGTAAGAAACTACACATCCTCTAATTCTTGGACATACTTCTAATGGAGGTTCAAAAAAATGCGTAACTTGCTGTCCGTGATATGTAAATGATGCCAATCTTTTTCCATTTCTATATACACATATACAAATTAATGAATATATTTATGTATGTAATTTTTTTTTTAAATAATAGAAAAAAAATCCGCTTACTCTAAATCCCATATTCTTACAGAACAATCCTCACCACCCGATAATAAATATTTACCACCATGGCTGCTAATAGTTGGTTTATAAAGACAAGTAATTTTACCATTATGACCTTTAAAAATCTGGATTGGATTGTTGTTGGAAGAAGAGAAGGAAGAGGAGGGATTTGTTGTTGTTTGGATTTGTTGTAAAATATTTTCAAAATTTACAAGTACTATATGTATCGGGAAAATATGAATTTCTCCATTTTCTATATTTTTTTTTAAAGAAAATTTTAAACTTTAAAACTTGTTAAAATAAAATATTATCTATAAAAATATATATTCATACCAAAACCAACTGCTATTAATTCATCACCAATTGCTGTTATTATAGTAATTTTAGTAGATTGGTGCTTATTTAATGGCCATATACTTGACAATTTTGTTTCTAATTAATTAATTAATTATAAATAAATATGCAAATAAGCAAATACATGTAAATATAAATATATAACTCACCAGAAGAATATTTCGATTCTCGTAAATTTATAGCTTGATTATTATCATTATTGTGATTTTCATATTGAAATGTTGATAACGATTTCCATACAAATGAGGTGTCATCAACATTGTTGTAAAAAGTAATCAGATACCAATTATTATTTAATTTTCTATTATCAATCCCAGAAATCATAAATACTGTTGTTACTGCGTCATTTATAATACAATTACTATACTCTGAACAAATAATTTCAAGTAATTCAGGCCTTTTTGCAAAAATTTATAAATTCAAAATATGTTAATTATATGTTAATTAAATATTGAATAACAATAATAATATTAATTAATTAATTAATAATTAATCACTTTGGTACAGAGGTTGCGTTTTCCACGACAGAATTTGGAAAAATTGGTAAGGAGTTATGCCTGGTAAGGGTAGGTTTAGTAAGGAAATATCCATTTTCTGATGGAAATTTTCTATCTGTGGATGGAATTGAATATAAATATGCATCCCCAGTCTAATAAATAAATAAATAAGTAAAAGTATGCAAGTATATCAATAATTATAAATATATATAAATAAATCTTTAATACCTTTGTCCATAAAATTATTCTATTTTTTGTCATAAAAGTGCCATTAACCCAATATTTATCATCATTGGATATTTTTATATGATGCATATTGAATATCAAACCTCTTTTTAATGTGAATATCTAAGAAAATTTAAATTTAATATAATGCTCTAATCGAATTAAATCTATCAAAAAGCGAATATTATAATATAATGATACTTGCTATAGCAAATTTTCTTGTTACTGCCATTATTACACCTATATCATAAGGATTATTAATTAATTCCAGTATTTTATCACCTTGTGCATCAAGTAATCCAATATTGTCATGTTCTTTTAATATTGTTTGTTTAACTTCATCAAATGCCCATATTTTCAGAACTCCGTTAAAATTTGATGTTAATAACCTTGTTTGTCGAACATCTACAATAAATACATTAATTATTTAATTATCTTGTTTTTTTTTTTCATCAAATAATAAATATACAGTGATAATATATGTTTACACCACCTGAATCATAAAATGGGGTAATAATAACCCAATCATTATGTCCTGCCCACACTCTAATGATCTAAATAAATAAACATAAATAATTAAATATATAAATTATTATAAAATATAAAATATAAAATAATTTAATCAAACCTCTAAAGAAGAACTATTTAGAACCAGGATTTCATTTGAAAAGCCATAACATAATAAATATTTTGACGGCTTTATTATGGAAAAATTTGGTTTAGACGTTGAAAATTTTATAATTACAAAGTTTTTATCAATTTAATTTAATCTACTACTGCAACTACCTGAGGATATTTAGTTAACGGTTTGATATTTCTTAGTATGCCATCAAAAACCCTGGAAACCGACAAAAGGCATCTTCCGTCTAATAAACACCATTTCATAGCATCTCTATGAAATATTTATGATAATTAATTAATCCATTATAATTTAATTAATTAATTACTTGTTTAAATAAAATACAAACCCATCTTCAGAAGCACTTATAAGTACATGATTATTTCCTGCGCAGCCATCAATCTGATCTTCTAGAATGGTTAAAGCAGCAATGGGGGTTTTATGTCCTACGCAAAGTACTTTATGTTGTAACTAGAAAGATAATAAATCTAATTTAGAAATTGTTAAAAATTAATTCAATGATATTTTCTTTTGCGAGAATGAGAATTTATGAATGTCTGTCATTACTACTATTATTACTACTATTTAATTAATTAATTAATCGTGAATTTAATGAAGGAATGATTGATTGAGAAAAGGTGCTCTAATGTTTATTATTAATTCTAGCAAGTTAATGTTAATGATATCGATACTTCATTTCCTTTCCAGTAAAACAAGTAATAATAAGAGTTGGTACCTGAATAGATCCTTTTTCATCTATAATACATCGGTATATCCATATGTTACCATCTTTAAGACCAGTTACAATATGACCGTCTTTATAAGCAATAGCAGTCACAGAAGCTTTGGGAAGTTGATTCCAAAGAATTAATGAAACAATGAAAGGCGACGACATTTTTTTTCGAAAATGTAATGTATCGAGTTAGTATTAGTGAATTAATATTAATCTCATTAAGAGTCACGGGATATTGCGGATAAAGTAAATCGTGCAACAACCCGTTTTTTAAAAACATAAATTATTTTTTAATACACAGTGAATCTTGATTTAGCGGACCTCGATTTAGCAGATACTAATTAAAAATCTCAATTTTACGGATAAACAGTTCCATAATAAACCTTAATAAAAACCTTCGGATATCTCGGTTTAACAGATTTTTTTAAACCAAGATTTACTGTGTAATGACAATTATAGACTTTTGATTTACATTATATTGCCAATTTGCATTGTAAAACAATTTTTCCTAAATAGTAAAAGTATATACTGTATATTGTAAAGGTTACATGAATAGAAGTTTGTGGATGAGGCATTAATATCATAATTAGGTCATAATGTCATAATCAATGTCCAAAATATGTATGACTGAGTTTGAATTAACTTTTGAGCTACACTCATTTATTAATCACAAGCTTTATATTAATGCTCGTCAATTGACTTGTTTATAAATTTATTGCCTCTCTCTTGTACCTAGAAAGCTTTGATGAGTCTGTAAGTACACATCTGCTCCGCGTTTTGATTGCAATTAAAATAATTATAAACTAAAAAAAATCATTGTACAACACCAAGTGCCAATAATAATAAATATTTTGTTTTGCATGTTTTCTTTTCCTCAAAATGCCACATCAAAAAAGAAATCAATAAAAGGCTATTGGTGAGGATCATGAGTAGGTGTTTATCATAAGAGTGATGGTGGTGGTCGTTACTCTAGTTAATAATAAGTCAGATCACCATGCCCAGTCACTTTTTTATATGGGGCATATACTAGTGATTTTAATAGGGATGTTAATTGATTATTATTATTAAAAAAATGAGATGAAGACAACGTTCAATAAGAAAAGCTAATATTACAAATCCTTATCTTAATCCAAATAATAATAATAATTCTCAACCACCCCACCAACCATAACAACATAATCAACAACAAAACCAAAAATCAGCAACCACAACAAAACCAATATCAACAACAACAAACTCAACCACAAACAGTGGTCCATTATAATTTTCATAACTTCACTCAAGATAATATCTTTATTAATAGTTACATGGTTTGTGGTGGTGGTGGTCTTCTTAATAATAATAATAATAATAAGGAAAATATTATATATAGAAAGGTTCTTTTTATGGAATATACAGAACCCTACCAAAAATAGCAATTCATTATATAAAAAAGGAAACTAAATTGTAGCTCAAAATTTTTGTAAAACCGATGTGACATTTATCACAGACGTGATTATTAAATTTGTGGGCTGGGGGTGGCAGGAATTACACAGTGTTTACCAACTCTAAGAATTAATCCTTATTTGTCACATAGGTTCTGTGTATTTCATAAAAAGAACCTAATAATAATATTGGTGGTGGAGATAATGATGATGATTATTATGATGATAGTAATAGTGATGATGATAATGATGATAGTGACAATGGTGATGATGTTGACAATGGTGATGATGACAATGACAATGATAACAACAACAATAATAATAATAATGATAATAATAATAATGGTGGTAGTAATAGTAATAAAATTATGGACCTTGATAAATATGTTGTAGATTATTAAAATAATAATAATAAATAAATAATAATAAATGTTGTTTGTCATCAATTAAATTTGTCTATTGTTATGCTATAAAAACTGTTACTATTACTATTACTATTAATAATAATAATTAAATATGCGAAACGTAACACGAATTCAATGATAATAAATAATTATACACGTTATTGATAAATAAAAATAGAAATAAAATTTAATTTGACCCAAAATTAAAGGGTTCGGCCAAATTATTGTCATCATCATCTGATCCTGGTAACACCTGTCTAGTGTTGGTTAATAAGTTTTAGAGAGATTCACAAAAAAACATTTTATTAATTTATTTATTATGCAAAACAATAGATTAAAAAATTTAATTCTATGAATGAGAGAAATGTTGATTTTCATATAAAATAGTGGGCCTTATTTCAATAAAATTAAAATCTCAGTGTTTCTTCTTGTTAACCCAATGTCAAAAATAAAAGAATACTATTGCACCTGGTAAAATTAATGAAGACATCCATTATGTCCCATTTGCCACTTATTAGTGGAATTTTATTAATGAAGTCAATATGAGAATTAAGATCAAATGCAATATTATCCAAACAGTTGTAAATACAAATGGTGGTATCAAGTCTGGTTATATATGAGTTAGATGATGATGCAGTGGTTTATCCAATACCAAGTGAAGCAATAAACAAAAATTATAAAAAATATTTCGATAAAGCAACATGTACTCTGGACCAAGCATTGATGATAAGTATTCATAGAATAACTACAGGTAAATGTTTTATTTTTTCTGTTTGAAATTGTTACTAATGGCATTTGAGGGTTTTGGCAATTGGCAGTTTTGACAGTCACTAAGAGGTTTCAGTAAGCAACCTTAGTTATAATGAAATAACACCACATAAAACAATAGGATTTTAATATGTATGTTTGAAATTTGTGAAAACTAAAGATGGGAACCACAATTAGCTGCAATTCAATTTTCATATGCCATGATTAGTCACAATTAATTGAGGAGTCATCTTTATCTCTATCCCTATCCAAAAGTGATTTACATAGTGCAATTTCTGATTATCTTTCTTAATTCAGCAAAAAGATTAAATCAAATCTTCATAAATATTTTAAAATAGGCAGCTGAAATCAATATGGTAATGTTATTTGAGGCATATTCATGGTAAGTGATTTTTTTATATTTCCTATTTCAGGCAAATAAACTTTAAAAATTTATTCTAGACAAATGAGTTACTATTCAGCCTAAAGGCATTCAATTTTTCTTCATCTTTGTGGTTAATAATAAACATTAAATTAAATACACCAAAAATATATGCAGTGCCTTGGCAAAAACCACAAAGGTATTAATTACACAAAAATATACATAATGAGTGTGCAGCTTAGGCACTGAAGATTTTGTGTATAAAATTTATATTCCTAAGTTTTCTAATTATTTTTGAAAAAAAATCTTGATGTGAAATTTTAGTATATATGAAATTTTAAAGGGAATATACCTACCTCGGTCACACGAATCCCAACCCAGAACCCCATGATTGGTGGAAAATAAGGAAATCTTATCTTAAAAAACCTTGTTGTGTAACCGAGGTAGGTGTGGTGAGTTTTCTTTTAAAGGTTACACGGGGATATGAGGTTTTATATATATAAACATTAATACACATTACTATTACAGTAGTAGATAATGAGTTGACTTTATCGAATATGGTCTTAATCAAGATTGTTTGAAGTTTGAAAAAAATTTTTTTAAGGTGAATAATAACAGGTATAGAGTTGGTTTTTTGTAAAAGGTTTTGGATTTTATATTTGTCAAATAGTAATAAGGATTATAATTATTTTTCTTTTATTAGCAAAAAGGAGATTATCTTCAACCTGAGCCGTTTGTTAGAATAATTTTAAATAATAAACCTAAAAATTACCTAGAAAAGCAATTAGGAATAGTTTTAAATTTTCTTGGGATCTAGCATCAAAATAAATCGATTAAAATGTTTAATATTAAGAAGCGTTTTGAACATGATTTGCATTATTTTGATTTCATTTGTCCTATTACTACTATTTGCAACAAACCAGACAAAGTGAACATCAGGTAAAGAATAAATTTTTCACTTTTTATTTCACTCTCGCATTTCCCGAAGAATTTTGTATCACAATTTTCTAATATTCACACACTCGCACGATTTGATTTTCAATATTTATAATTTATATTGTTATCTTTTTTATGTGTTAGTTGAATCAAATAAAAAAAATATTATAATCCATTCATTGAAAATACGTTTGCACCAGGACAAATCTATGTGGCGATAAGCAGAGTTCTTTTCGTTTTATTTTAATTGTTTGAAGGTCATAGTAATATTAATAGTAAATTAAAAAATTTTTAACTTTCGGAAAAAAAGATATTTTCCCCACAATATTAATATTAATATTAATAATAATAAAAAATTTTGTAATCGTGTGGGAAATTCACATTTAAAAATAAAAATATTTGATTGGCTTCATTCCTAACCTTGGAAAGAATAATACTTGTATAATGCAAATTTACGTAACCATTTTTTTATATTCAAAGATTAAAACAATTTACTGATTTAGTGGCATTGTTGATTATTTTACTAATTTTTAAACCTTTTTCGTAATTATTATTATTATAATCAACGATCCATATAATGTTACTTTTTATTGCTAGACAAAAATATAAAAAAATTTCCAAATATTTCATTTAATATTTTGCTTAAAAATTCCAACCATGTCTTTGGTTTCAAATGCTCAATCTTATGGTCAAAATGAAACACTTATTTCGTCCATTCGTAATATTATCAAGGCATGTCATACATTTAAAATAGTATTATTTTGTATTTAAGTTAATTTTAATTTTTTGTTAGGATTATCCCTTTGAAAGTATATTCAAAGAATTCCTTCAAAATGGTCAGAATCATTTTATATAATACTTTTGATTCTTGAAATTTTGCATTGATTTTATTTACGTTTATAATACTCATATCCGATAAACAATAGCCGACGATGCCGGAGCCACACGTTTTCGTATAATCATTGATAGTCGATCACATCCCACCAACTCTTTACTTAGTAGTGGAATGAAGGCTTGGCAAGGGCCTGCTATTTTGATTTTCAATAATTCAAAATTCGAAAAATCCGATTTCGAAAATCTCATGAAAATACGTGTTGGTGGAAAACAAGAAGATAATACCAAAATTGGAAAGCACGGATTGGGATTCAATTCATGCTATCACTTTACCGATGTTCCCAGTTTCATCAGCGGTGATTCTATTGCGTTTTTGGATCCTCAGGAAAAATTTTTACCAATGAAAAATGAACGTGGCATGATTTGCACTTTTCCCAAAGAAGGCATTCGCGGTTTTCATGAAAGAGATCAGTTAGCTCCTTTTATAGGAATTGAGGGCATCAATGTTCGATCAACTTTTTTTAATGGAGTACTCTTCCGAATACCACTTAGGCAACAAAAAAGTGAAATATCCGATAAAGTTTTTACTATTGACGAGGTCCTTAAATTGTTTAGACACATCAAATCAAATTTCGCTTCCTATTTTTTATTCCTTCGAAACATTGAGGAAATTGAAGTGTCACATATACCAAAAACTACATCATCACCTCATGCAACTTCTCTCTGGAAAGCAACTGTAAATGGATTGGATGAAAATGTCCGGAATAAAAGAAAACGTGCTGTCAATGGTGAAATTCAAATTTTTCAGATGAAAATTAAACTAATCGATGATTCAAAAGACAAACAAAACGACAAATGGATTATCGCAATTGGTGCTCAAGAAGATCCTAAAGATCCTGATCTGAAGGCTTACGCAAATCAGCATCGATTACGCGTACTGGGAGGTGTTGCTACTTTACTTGAAAGCGATCAGGAAAAAGAAAAAAATCAGAACTATTTTATTAGAAGAATAACGTCATTTAAAAGCCTAAGGAATGATTTGGGAAATCAGTATTATTTTGAAGAAGGAACGTTATTGAGAAGCATAGAAAAGGGCCGGGAAGAAGATGAGGATCAGAATGACTTTGAAGGAAGAATGTTTTCTTTTCTTCCGTTGCCTGATACTACATGTTTGCCTGTCCACCTTAATGGAACCTGGGCTCAAAGTTCAGATCGTGCAAGACTATTGCTCGAAAAAGACAATGATCTACCAGATTTGGATCATCAGAAACTTGAGTGGAATAGGCATATTCTGCTTGAATTCCTTCCAGAAGTTTATTGCAGACTCTTGGAAGAAATTCTTATATTGCAGAATAGTAACCAAATTGATCTTAAAAACAGGTGCATATCAAAATTTTGGCCATTTCCATCCGTTACACAAAACTATCCAAAATACATAATTAGTTATGGTTGCAAAGTACTCCAGCGTATATTACAACACGATAACATTCCCCGATTAATCACTCCTGTCTACTATTATTCGCATAACGATAAAGTCACTTTTACTGATGAAAATGTTCAGGTGGACAATATTTTCAGGTGCTTGTCATATAGTCGTATTGAGGCTTTCCGTCATTTACTGCGAAATAATTGGAAAGAATTAAAAGTATTAGGTTATTATTTTGAAAAAAAAAATTTTTTTGTAATTAAATTAGAGATTTCAAGTAATATATTTATTTATTTACTACTGTAGGAATAAAGTGGGATCATGAACTTAAATCAATGATCCGCTCGCTGCCAATTTGGCCAACGCGGAGGAACCCCGCATCGCCAAACCTCAAGCAGAGTTTGGTACCAGTTTCAATTGGGTACCTTTTTCCAACGAACTTTAACATGTATAGAACAAAGAGCGACAAAATTTTTTTACAGCTCTCTGATAATCTAGATTGTAAAATTTTGCGTAATCTTGATGTTCCTGTACGAGGCATTCAATCATACACATTTGAAGACGTTGAATTTCCTGAAGAATCTGATGAGTCCTATGTGGATTTTTTGGATAGTGTGCTCTCATACGGATGCGAGCATCTTGTCGAAAATTTAAAGGATCGTGATTGTTTCCCCTGTGCATTTACAAGTGACTTGAAACGTATTTCTGACCTATATGATTATAGTAATGTTGTTTTTCGATGTGTATTTGGAGGTGACTCAAATAATTTTCTTGATTTACGTCTCTCAAAATATGCAAAAAAGTTAGCAAATATTGGATTCAATAATGAAATTGATCAGGATTCATTCACAAAATGTGCCGAAAAAGTTGAAGAGTTACTGGGAATGGATGACCCGCCATCTGATATAAGATATCGTGGCTTCATTTTGGTTGATCATCTTTATAAAAACATCGATGAATTTGAATTTAAAGGAATTGATAGGATTCCATTTGTTCCTATTGTTAAATGTTTAGATAAACATTACAATAAGTACTATAATCACACTCGAGTATTGGATTGTCTCAATAATGTAATTCATCCTGAATATAAAGAAGTTGCATGGAGCCAAAAGCCTTTAATCGCAGAAGATGTCATACCACCTGATAATGTACTTCGAAAATATCCATCATTTGGTAAACCAGATGTTCTTACTGTAATCAAACATCTCCGTTTTTTGCATACAAAGCTTATAAAAGATGAGGAATGGAGAAATTGGAAAGAAACATTCTTGTTTAATGTTTTCAAAGTCTACGAATGGCTTGACAAAAAATGTTCAAATGAAAGTCTCAGACTAAGGCAATACATTAATTCAAATGAACTATTATTCCTTAATTGTAATGACGATCAAGATCCATTTGACACTAAAAACTGGGCTCCTGTAGCGAATTTAATTTTGAATACTGAACCAGGTGAAAGAAATTATGTAAATCCTCGTCTTGCTAAATATCACAAAATGCTAAAAAGTGCTGGTGTCCAAGAAATAAGATTACCAAGTTTCAAAATACAGATTGGAGAAAATGATCAGACAAGTATTAACAGAGCCATGTTGGGGTTTTTATTAAAGCAGGAGAATTGTTTTCATGATGTTGTTTTTGTTGTAAAAGATGAAAAAATATGGGCAAGCCGATATGTGCTTGCTGCAAGCTCCACAGTTTTCTATCAGAAATTTAATTCAGAAGACTTGAGCACAGTTAATCCAGCTAGAATTACTATCGACAATGTTAACCCTAATTCGGTGCACATTTGGTTGCGTTACTTATATGGTCAGAATATCAATGATGCAATTTGGAATCATCAAAGTTTAAATAAAAAACAACCATCAAATTTGGAACTGTATAAAGATCTACTTAAATTAGCAAATGATTATAAAATAGATCATTTAAAAAATCTTATGGAATTAAAGCTCTCTCTATTGGTTAACGGATCAAGCGTGCGAGAGATAGAAAGATTAGCAAGAGAATTAAATGCAAATCAACTTGAAGAATATTGTCATTGTTTTATTAGAGATAACATGAATTTGTATACTGTAATTTAGATATATGAATATGCTCTTTGAAATTTCTGCATCTAAAAAAATTTTTTAAATAAAAGTTTTTTTTGTTTGTGATGATTACAAATCTTTGTTGCATATATCAATTAGAATAAAAGAAAAATCTAATTAACTGTCTTCCCATTTACTTAATTTTTTAATATATCAATAGCAAACCATAAATTAATACATAGCAGATTGTTTCTCTGTCCAATAAGAAAATTCTCTATACTTTTATGTACTTGTATGTATATTTATATTAATTGCTGAATCAATAATTACCTGAAAAATAAGAAAGTCAAACCAATTGCACAATCTTTTTAAAGTGTCATGACTTCTGTATAATTACTGTGATGACCATTTATAAAACTAAAAAGTTTACTTGTGAAGAACTTGACGTGAAATAACTAATTATAGTTGAAAAATAATTTTAAAATCATTTAAATAAAACGAAATAAATAAATTACCAAACAAAACACACACATACATGTATGTATAATAAATAGATGTCAAAAAAAATAATTTTAAAATTGAAATACCCAAATTTGTAGACTTTCAAACGAATGAACCATTTACTTCCATTAAACAAAAACGTCCACAGAAACCGATCAACCAACCAAGTCTGTCTAATTCTACTTTCGTCAACTCAAATAACACCAGAAAATCAGAAAACACTTATTGTAGTATCAGTACTAGGTGCTGCATTTGGTATTGCCCTGCTATTGGGTAAAGCAAATAAACCATGGCTTTTTACCAAAGCACTTTACAGTTGCCTTTTCCTTGAATCACTTTAAAAATAAAAACTGCATTTTATTTTAAACAAATATAAGGGTTTATTTACAATTAATTGATTTTTATTTTATTACTTATCCTCTATTAGTAATTTGATTATATCGGCTTTTCAAGCAAGTTATTCAAGTTGTTTTTATACATAGAATATTATTATTGTGGGTTATTATTATCTTATGCACTGAATCATTTTTTCTGGCCTCTATTATTCCACAATTAAAAAAGTCTGAAAGAAACAGTTTGCTTGTAATTAAAACTTTCGTGGGATTATCACTACTATGTTCATTTTTTTGTGTTCAATTTTATACAATAAATTTTTTTATTCACAATTCAAAAAAAAAAAAATCATAATGGTTTTTACAAAAGTGCTAGCTCGTTCCCCTGCCGTTCGAACCCAAGCTGTTAGATTTCCTCGTACAGGAGTACGTAAATCTTCGTATTATCATTTTGAGAACGACGATGGTTATGTAAGTAAAAGAATCGTTTTTATTCTTTTTAATAATAATAGTAATAAAATCATCTAATAATTTTATTTTTAGCATCTTCCTTTTAGTACAAAAAGTAAAACTGGTTTAGCCATTAAAATGACTCTATTCTTTGGAACTGGTTTTTCTTTACCATTTATTGGTAAGAAAAATTTTAAATAATTTTTTTTAGGAATTTTTAAATTTATATTTACAATTTAATAATTTAATTGATTGTTATTTTTAGCTGGAATGTGGCAATTGTAAGTACAATAGCAAAGATTAATAATATTCATTTTAATTATAATAATTATAATAATTATAATAATAATTTCTTTAAAAAATAGTCATAAAGCTGGCAAACCATTCTTTAAAACAGGACAACCACTTGCATAATAAAACAATGTATTTTGCAATAATTTTATTAATTATTCGTCATCTTCATTTTCATCCTCATCTTCATCATAATAATCAGGACTAACTAATGAAATTGTTGTAGATTTCACTATAAAATTGAATAAAAATACTTAATCAATATTTTATTGATATAATATTATAATATTAAATAACAACAATAATTAATACCTTCACTATTGTTAGAATTATCTATTTGTTGTTGTTGTTGATTTTCAACAGTTTTTGATTTTTCTTCGATATTATTATTATTTGATGATTTCTTGTTGTCTTTCTTCTTTATAACAATTAAATCATTTTGAATTTCTTTACTACTATTATTATTATTATTATCATTATTGTTGCTGCCACCATTTTTACTATTATTCCAATCATTATCTTTTAAAAAAGGATCAGTTTTAAGTTTTGTATTTACAGTTACTACTGCTGATAATTGTGCAACTTTGCTGTTTGAATTATCGAAAATAGATTTATATTTTTTTGATTTTGATGATAATGATGATGATGATATTAATTTCTTATTATTCTTATTGAATATTGATGATGTTGAAATTTCTAATTTACGTTTTACTGCTTTTTCAAGTAAATGATCTTTTTATTTATTTAGAAATAAAAAATATTATATTAATATTATTTTATTAATATTTAAATTAACTTGCACCAAAAAAATAAAATTACCTGCAAATTCAGTTGTTTTAGCTTTAATAATATCATCATTTGATTCTGGTAATAATGTAATCGATAATGAATTTCTTTTTCGTATTTCTTCATCCGCTTTTCTTTTTGCTTCAAATTCTTTTTTTTCTTCTCTAAATAGTTTTCTCATCCTTTGTGAATGTGTATATGGATCTGCCCATTGTCTATCATTTAATTTCTATACGCGTGCATCAAGAAGAATAATCGTTCATATTAGCCTTGAAAATTTTTAATCACAATAAATGTAAATGTATATATATATATATATATATATATACTTGAAGTTGTGTTAATTTTGGAATTTCTTGTTTTAATTTTTGTTCATCCTTTACTGATTGTTCAAGTTTATATATAGCATCATCAATTAATTTCTCTGCTTCTTTATCATCTATCAATATATAATAATTAATTGGTGTGTTAATAAATTTCTCCATATTTTTTTTTAATCAAATAAAAAAATCACCTTTAAGTCTTATTGTCTCAGTGTCTTCAGGTTCCCATGTTTCAACTTTTTGACGTGCTCCACTAACAACAACATATTCCGAATTCTATAAATCAATATTTACCTTTAATAAACTATTATTTTATATTTTTATCCAAAAAATTAAATAAAAAAATTACAATTGTTGATGTTTAACCTTTGGATCGGTTTGAATTTCAATCCAATTATCACATAAATGACATCTCATTCGAAAACTATAAATCGGTGTACTATAATAATTCCCGACTTTTTTCTTTTCTGCATTATATCGAACACCTTTTTATTTGTTTAAATATATAACGAGATTTTTATTATTAATTATATGAGAAATATTTTCTTTGTAAAAAAAAAGAAGAAAATCTCATTTACCTTTGCCAACATGTTTTCCACAACCTTCACACCAAATATTATATGGCAGCTCAAATCTTATTGTCAGTTTTTACATATCATATATTTATATTTATATATATGTGTGTATACACATGCACATATAAACATTTATCAATGTTTATATCTTTCATTTAAAAACAGAATTGTTTATTTTTGATTTTATTTGTAGTTGTTTTTTAAGACTTTTCAAACCTAACAATTAATATTCCTTGATCTATTTTCCTGGCTCGATCTCCAAGAGGATGTTTTCCCACAAACTTATTGACCGAACCCTAATATTAAACATTGTCAGTAAATAATAATAAATTTCCTTCTTTTGTTGTTGTAAAAATAAGATTTACCTTTTCAGGTTCCCAATCTGGTGGATAATATTTATTAAATGGTTGCATTGTTTGTTAGTTGAAATTCAATCGAATGAAATAGTAGTAGTAGTATTATTGAAAATTTTGTCATGTGATTGTAAAAGTTCGTGCAACTCAATGTTGATAATAAATAATAATAATCAAATCTCGTAAATTATTAAAACTAATCATAATGAGATCAAGAAGAAACACCTTTAGTTATGGCGATCCACAAACACAAATTTACTCAACAGCTAATTCAATAGTTTCTAATAACATTAACAGTCGTTATGAACTTGTTCCTTATTCGAAAGAATGGACGATTATATTGTATGTTATTATATAACAAACTGGCTTTATATATTTTATATTTAATTTGTCCATTATTGTTATTGTTGTCTGTCTTAGACGTAACGAACATTCGGGTCAATTAGTGTTATATAATACTTCAAATCATCGTGTTTCACTTCAACAATTACCACATACAAGTGAACATGTTACATCGACTCAGGTTTTTGTTTAAAATTTATTCAATGGATTATTCCTGTTTACAAGCTTTCAATAACAATTATTTTTTGTATAGATTTTAACTACACCTCATGCATGCATTATGTGCAGAAGACCATTTGACAGTCCAGATGGTTCATCAGCTAGAGTAAGTTTTTAAAAAAAAAGCTTTTTACAATCAATATACATAAAACGTTTATTTATTTACACGTTATTTATTATCTATTTATATAAAATAAGAATTTAAGACCTAATTTTATCCATAGAAATTATTTTCGTTTGTTGGAGAATTTTGAAGGGTAAGCAAAATAGTTCTGATGATTATAATAATAGTTATCATTTGAATTCTGTCATTGACTGAACTGATTAAACATTTGATCATTATACTTATTCTCTCTATTTATTTATTTACACATGCAAAAGTTCTAATAAAAATCTTAATTTCTGATAAAACAATAATAATTCCTTGACATTTTTTTTATTACTACTAAAATATTTCACCGGTATCAGGAGCATCATTGTCATCATCAACAGCAGAAGAAGAAGAAGAAAGAACAACTAATGCTGATGGTGAGACATTGTTTGAAATCCTCGAGGATACTTTAACACTTTCCGAAAATTCTTTTAATCAAGGTTATTATGAAAGATTTTTTATTGAAGAAAAAAAATTGGGGAGAGGGTTTCGTGGATCAGTGTTTCTTTGTAAGGTGAAATACACATATACATACTTATATCTTTATATATTAATCAATCATTATATTATTATTAATTGCCATTATTTAATTTAATAGCATGTTTTAGATAATGTTCCTTTGGGGGAGTATGCAATCAAAAAAGTTGCTGTAGGTTAGTAATATACATACGTTTGATTATTTTATTATTTTACTTTAAATATTATTTAATTATTACAGGAGACAATCATGCATGGTTGGTTAGGATGTTGAGAGAAGTACATTTATTAGAAACATTACATCATCCAAATATTGTGGATTATAAACATGCTTGGCTAGAATATCATAAATTGACTGATTTTGGTATGTTTAATCCTAAAATTTCATATTATATTTACACATAATCATTCTGTAAATTTTTTAATCAAAATTATTATAAATTTTTAGGTCCACAAGTTCCTTGTTTATTTATCCTTATGGAATGTGCTAATGCTGGAAATTTGGAAGAGTATTTAAATGGTTTGCAATCCTCATCATCATCATCATTGCCATATGCCAAAAAATCAGAATTTGATGAAAAACTTACACCAAAAGAACGTTTGTTGAGGGAAAGACGAATGAAGAGAGCTACTGATGGCAGTGGTCGTCATAATTTTAATAACAGGGAAACAAGATCTTCAATACGTTATCTAGAACTTCATGAAATATGGTCTTTATTTATGGATATTTGTAAAGGACTGGCTCATTTACACAGACATGGTATTGTCCATAGGGATTTGAAACCATCAAATCTTTTGTTACATTACAATAATCCAAATGATAGAGCTGGCATGTTTGTATTAATTAGTTGTCTGATTAAAGATTAATAAAAATATTTATACTTTAGTTTAAGAAAAATAGTAATTATTATTATAATTATTTAAATTTAGTCCAAGTGTTTTAATTTCTGACTTTGGAGAATGTGAAGTATTAGATCAACTTACAGAACGTGATCGAACTGGAGCAACAGGAACTCTTGAATTTATGGCTCCAGAATTAGTCACTGGTATATTTAAATTATTATTATATTTTTTTTTTGGAGAAAAAAATAATCATTGGAATAATTTTTTTTATTAAAAAAATTATATAAATTTTAGTTGATGACAAAGGAAAATATCTAAAAGATTACTCTCCAAAATCTGATATATGGTCACTTGGAATGGTTCTTTATTACTTATGTTATTCACGACTTCCATATCATCATGTGGATGATGTTGACCTTTTGAAACAGGAAATATTGGATTTTAACCTGTATGTAAATATTTCTAGTGATTTTCTTCTTTTTTTTTTTTTTTTAAAAAAACTTTATGTAATACTCTATGTTTGTTTTCAGAGCTTCATTCCCTGAAAATAAGAATACATTCATTCATGAACGTAAAATTCCTTCACAAATAAGGAATTTAATTAAAAGATTATTATCACGTAATTCAAAGGATAGACCTTTATGTGATGAAATTTTAAAATCTATTGAAGATATACAGAATAGCTTCAATGTTAGAGATGCAGTTGGGTTTATTTAAAAATAAATATTAAAAAAATGTTTATTTATTTGTTAGATATTTTTAATATTAAATATTTTTAATTAATCAATGATAGAAATCAGTGTTTGTTGATAAATTTGGAGCTTCAACAATATCTAGTTCAGATATACCAGCAGCTGCATCAAATTCAACATCTTCTGAATCTATTATTATTGATAACAATGTGTTGGGCACTAGCAGTATTGAAGCTTCAAAAATTCCATCAGATACTGGCAACTTATCAAGTTTAATTGAAAAAGAAGAAATTATAGGTAAATCAGAAATCAAATTATTGGTGACAAAGTTAATTATATTGTTTTTACCATTGTTATATTATTATTAGTTGAGGAATTTGCCAATAAAAATGAAATAATCTCTTCAAATTTACGATTAAGACATCCTAATGTTAATGAACGAATTGGAAATGTTGAAGAAAATGTTGAATTACCAGAATCATCATCATTATTTGATACAATTGTTAGTATAAATACATTTTGTGATTATAAATTATTGTAAGATTACATGAATATGAATACTAAATTTATTATTATTTAAAAAATAATAGGATAATAATGATAAGAAGGCTGTACTTTGGATATTACCTCCATCCACACCAACATATAAATTTACTTATTTGATTAATGTGCTTTACTCTCAAATATCTAAAAAAATTTTATGGAGTCAAATTTTTAAAATTTTTATCTTTTTTGTCAAGGTCATTTTTTGCTCTTTTTTTTTTGTCAGAAATGAAAGGATTTGCTTTTTTTTAATTTTTAATTTTTTTTTGCATTTTAGGTTATTACATGTGTGTCTCCTTGTTCACCATATTTACCTTCTAATTGGTCACTCTATCCAATTTTGAGTTTTGCAATAATTGATTTTTTTGTGTAAGTACATCTTTAATATATTAATTAGATTGATTTTTTAAAGAAAATTTTTTATAACCAATTTTTATTTTATAGTAAATCAAAAAGAGCAAGTTTGATATTAAGTTTGACACACATTATTTGGATGATGATTTTTATTATTTCTAAAGAATATTGTAAAATCAATAAAAATATTTCAGAGGATCAAGAAGATATTATTTAAATTAAAAAATAATAATGGATTTTGATTACTGTAATTTCCCATCTCCTTCTTTACTGTTATAATAATTTCTTTCCTGTAATTACAATATTAATGTTTTTATTTACTTATTATTCTAGAAGTAGATAAAAGTTATGCATATATATATTATGTTTGTAAACTAATAAATAAACAGATAATTCTTGACTTTACTAATAGACATTGGTATAAAATTCTTTCCAATATTTAATACTGAATAAATTATTCACAAATATCTTATTTCCCAAAACAAAGTTCAGAATTCACTGGTGCTGTGGTCCACAACTAAAGATGGCCCTGCAACTAGGAAGTTGCAACTCAAGAGGTTGCAACCTCTGGTTGATCAGCTACTTCAATCACTACAAAACTAAATTTATTTTATCAAAAAAATTTTTTTAATTAATGATTTTATTTAAAAACAAAAAATCCCATTTTGCAGTTATGTGATTCCATTTTTGATACTAAGTCATCATAATTGGGGCATGCTGCAACAAAACCAGACAAAGTGAACATTGGTATTACCAAGGATTTCAGGGATCAAAATTTAGTTATCTTTAATGCAATTATAATTAACAGTTTTATAATATCCCATTTGTGATATATAGAACTACCCCTATATAAAAATAGTTAATATGAAATTAATTTATATCAGGTCTACTATGGAACCCAAGAATTATAGCACCATTAG